TCTATTATTGTAGTGTGCTCTGTTCTTGGATTTCTTTAATATGTTTCTCTGCTTTTTTTTACTTAATCTGAAGCTGTGACACACTCCAGCCTGACCGTAGAAAGCAAAGGGTGGATTTACTGTTGACAGCTTCCTCCTCCAATATCCACCATACCCAGTTTGTTAGAGAAATGAGTCACCTCTAAAGGTAACAAGAACATTGCAAAATTGCCCAGGACATTTCTATGAAATTGGGATTTAAGGTGAAAGTAAAGTCATTTCTGTGTTGTTTTTCTAAATAAGTAAGGGTCATAGCAGATACCTCGTCTTATTTCAGTTGTCATAAACATCATTAAATTGCTATAAAGTAAAAGTCTAAGACCATGTAGTAGGCAGAGGATACAATGACAGCTTGACACAGAAAATCCAGTATTTGTGCACGGAAACACGGAATAATTTTTCATCCTGGACTCAAAATGTAATTGAATGTGACATATTTGTTTTTGCATTTTACTTAGCCCCATTTATGTTATATAATATTGTATAGCTCTATATTATATTGCATAACCTATACCTAGGTCTCCAAGCTTTATCAAGCCAAGGACCCTTTGGTGTATAGGCATAACATATAGTATAAATTGAGTGCTGAATTTTAAGCCTGTGTATTTTATGATGACATTAACAATGTACATCAGTAATTATTATTTTACTGTATATACTGTCCATCTTATTTTCATTTTACTTAAAGTGCCCATATTATGCTTTTTGGACATTACCTTTATAGTAGTGTGTAATATACTGTAGCTGTTTGTGAATGTAAAAAGTCTGCAAAGTTTCAGTGATCAAAGTGCATGATAAATGGAGTTATTGTCTGAAGTGCCTGAAACGAGTCGTCAGTAATTCCAGTCTTTCTTCCTACACGAACTTACGTAGGTTTGTAACACATTTGCTTAATGCCAGCCTAAGGTCTACTTTGACCCTCAAATGCTGTAGTGTCCATCTGGCTATAGAAGACCAATCACAGCCGCCTGAGCCATCTGATCAATCACGGCAGAGTAGGCCAATCACAGCAGACTCGGTCATCTGACCAATTAGAGCAGAGTAGACCAATCACAGCAGACTGGGCCATCTGACCAATCAGAGCAGAGTAGGCCAATCACAGCAGACTGGGCCATCTGACCAATCAGAGCAGAGTAGACCAATCACAGCAGACTGGGCCGTATGGCCAATCAGAGCAGAGTAGACCAATCACAGCAGACTGGGCCATCTGACCAATCAGAGCAGAGAAGACCAATCACAGCAGACTGGGCCATCTGAACAATCAGAGCAGAGTAGACCAATCACAGCAGACTGGGCCATCTGACCAATCAGAGCAGAGTAGACCAATCACAGCAGACTGGGCCATCTAACCAATCAGAGCAGAGTAGGCCAATCACAGCAGACTCGGTCATCTGACCAATAAGAGCAGAGTAGACCAATCACAGCAGACTGGGCCGACTGGGCCATCTGACCAATCAGAGCAGAGTAGGCCAATCAGAGCAGAGTAGGCCAATCACAGCAGACTGAGCCATCTGATCAATCACGGCAGAGTAGGCCAATCACAGCAGACTCGGTCATCTGACCAATCAGAGCAGAGTAGACCAATCACAGCAGACTGGGTCATCTGACCAATCAGAGCAGAGTAGACCAATCACAGCAGACTGGGCCATCTGACCAATCAGAGCAGAGTAGACCAATCACAGCAGACTGGACCATCTGGCCAATCAGAGCAGAGTAGACCAATCACAGCAGACTGGGCCATCTGATCAATCACGGCAGAGTAGGCCAATCACAGCAGACTCGGTCATCTGACCAATCAGAGCAGAGTAGACCAATCACAGCAGACTGGGTCATCTGACCAATCAGAGCAGAGTAGACCAATCACAGCAGACTGGGCCATCTGACCAATCAGAGCAGAGTAGACCAATCACAGCAGACTGGACCATCTGGCCAATCAGAGCAGAGTAGACCAATCACAGCAGACTGGGCCATCTGGCCAATCAGAGCAGAGTAGACCAATCACAGCAGACTGGGCCATCTGACCAATCAGAGCAGAGTAGACCAATCACAGCAGACTGGGCCATCTGACCAATCAGAGCAGAGTAGACCAATCACAGCAGACTGGGCCATCTGGCCAATCAGAGCAGAGTAGACCAATCACAGCAGACTGGGCCATCTGGCCAATCAGAGCAGAGTAGACCAATCACAGCAGACTGGGCCATCTAACCAATCAGAGCAGAGTAGACTCTCATCAAGGAGGGGTTTAGGTAGAATCCTTTATCCAACCGTTTCAGAGACTGTGTGAAAAATGATGCTGCAATGTATATTATGAGAGGATTATTATTATTATTTTTTACCTTTGATGCAAGTAAATCTAGTGTAGGTGACCAACAAAACATTTACATTTAGTCATTTAGCAGACGCCTTTGTCCAAAGGAACCTCTAAAATAGTGGCACTTTTATATATTTCAATGTGGGAGGGACAATGAAACATTTAGCCGAACTTTAGCTTCAATATTGTAGCTTTGGTTTAAATGATTCGTTTTTAAATGTATATTTTTTTTTTTTACACCATCTTTGTAGACTTCTGATGTATACAATATTACAAAAGTCTATCTGGTTTTGCACTTTGGAATCTTAACCCTCGGGGGTCTGAGGTGTTTTCTGGGCCCTGGAGGTGTTCTGACACGCCTTGACATTTGTGCTCATTTCTGTTACTTGTAACATTTTCATGGCTAAAGTCTAGGCCAAAGAACTTGAATGTCAATTTACTGTCCACTTCATTGACTCTTGGCCAGTGTGTTTTATATGTAGTGATCCTGATCAGGTGACCCTCTTGTACATGTCCTAGTCCTTTTCAGCCTTGTGGTACATGTTTATATTAATCAGGATGTGCTTGAGGACTGGTTATAATTGTAGAGGTTGTGCCCTCGAAACCTCTGTCTGTCGTTTAATTGGTGCAACGCTGTATTGTGGAGACGCACATTGTACAAGGTCAAAGGTCAAGGTCACCGCTTATTACAAATTCCTTGAAAAGCCTTTATCTTAACTCCCCTACAGTTCCATAGAAACAGTTTACCTGAATTTCTGATGCATTTTTTTTCAGTTGTCCTGGAATCAGAATGTTAAATATTAATTATAATAATAATAGAAATATAATCTCAATATAAGATCATTATATAGAATAGATGTAAAAACAAAATGTTTAATAGACGTTTTTATTGTTCTACAGTATGTGTTTCTGTGGTGAAACCTGAAAAAACATTTCATAGTATTGTGCATGAATACAAAATATAGCAAATGAGAGGGCAACCATATTTCTCAGGCCTGAAGATATCATAAAGATGAACATTTTGCACAGAAAATTCTATTCAAAAACTCCTGAGTCTTTAGTATAAGCAACATTTTCAAAATGAAAAAAAGAGAGAAAAGAAAACAACAAAAACATTATCTACAGGTATGTACAGTGCAAGAACAGAAGAGCATTTCTACAGTGGAATCTCTCAACTAATTAAAAAAAAAGAAGCAAAAAAACTCCTCTCATATTTCAGCAGAAGGGCTTTTTCTCTCGGTAATAATAAATATGTTAGCAGGATTTGAAGTTGGATTGACATTACGTTGGATTGCGGCCCGGACATAATATATTATTAGAAACATAGATGATACAAGAAGAAGGGTTTGTATAAAATCCCATTTTGGAGGCGAAACAGAATTTAAAAAAAGGAAAAGATTTGCTGAATACACCAAAAGTACATTGACGATCATTCTTGAATCTTAAGAGTTTCAAGAAGCTAAAAAGGCAATCTTAGCACGTTACTGATAACATAAACTCCCTTATGGCAGTAGCTTAAATGTGCAAAATCATATTTTAGCATATTAATACTATATAAAAATATGCCATCTAACCACTCAATGTTGACCTTTCTCTAAGATTTTTTTCCCCGCATGGCAGCGCCAATGTCAGTTTTAATCAAATACATTGTTAAACAGAAATATGTTTTTGTAGATACACTGAAGAGTCATAACATAATTGTTTTGTTGAATTGTGTGAGAGGTGTGCAGAGAGGTTACGTAATTGCCCACACAAGCGAACATGTAACTGAAAATTGTGCTGTCAAGACATCAGTTTTGTGACAGGCCATGAATTATTTATTATTCTTCAGCAGGAAAAGTGAAAAACGTTACCTAATCCGACCGCAAACGTGTAATCCCCATTAATTCTAAGGTGCACAAACCTGCTTGTTTTGTTGTTGGGTAAACCTGCAAATAATGTTTCAGGTCACACTTTATATTAAGGATCTTTTATGTAACTACCATGTACTTACATAAAAAATAATAATACTTATTGTGTTCATGTTGTATTGCAAAACACTAGTGGTGCTATTGAGGTGGGATACAGTTAAGGTTTGGGACAGGTTTGGTGGTATGGTTAGGTTTAAGTGTGAGTTAAGGTGTAAGGCAAGGCTCAACAGTGTCATTATAGATGTAGTTACAGAAATTAAAGGGACAGTTCACCCAAAAATGAAAATTCTGTCATCATTTACTCACCCTCATGTTGTTCCAAACCTGTATGAGTTTCTTTCTTCTGTTGAACACAAAAGAAGTTGGTAATCAAACAGTTGACCGCACCCATTGACTTCTATAGTAGGAAAAAAAAATACTATGAATGTCAATGGCTACCGTCAACTGTCTGGTTACCAACATTCTCTAAAATATCTTTAGTGTTCAACCGAAGAAACTCATACAGGTTTGGAACAACATTAAGGTTAGTAAATGATGACAGAATTCGAATTTTTGGGTGAACTATAACTTTAAGATGTAATTACATGCAGGTATTTCTTAAATATAAATACAATGCAACATCATGTAGTATGTACGCAATAAGTGCATTGTATCAAATGATTAATTTGAATGTTAGTACATAAAGACACTTAATATAAAGTGGGACCATGTTTTATAAAACCAAAAGTGATCTGTTTAAACAACTAGCTCGCCCAATAATGTACATTCTGTCTTCATTTACTCACCGTTATGGAAATTACTTTCTTTCTTTCTTTTTGTCTCTCTGTCTATTGATGTCAAACCTAGTGTGACATTACTTGATGTGCCATATTTGAATATGCGCAAATGGGATTGAGATTTGATAATAATGACTTCGACTCATAGCTATATTCAAAGTCTTCCATGATACGGAATTTATGTTCGGAGTTTTACAGCCCCTGATTGCCATTTATTTTTATTGTATGGAAAAAGAGCTACTTGAACATTCTGCTAAACGTCTCCGAAAGTCATAACTTGAGTTTGAGTTTGAAACAACATAGCGATGAGTAAATAATGGCATCATTTTCATGTTGTGCAGAATTATAACCTGCCATCACCCTTCATATTAATACTGTAAAGAAGTGACCATTCGTGCAAGAGCAAACATTTAAAAAACATCCAAGGCACATCATACAAACAATCTTTTCTTTCTCCCTGTCAAATTGTTTAAAAGTTCATAAGACTGAACCAACATTAGGAAGTCCCAGGGGCGTGTCCGTTCACCTCCATGGACGCCCTGCGCTTGTGTCCCGAGTACTCGCCGATGAACGACCCGTCTTCGTTGAACTCGCAGTCCTCATCGTCTGACATCACAGAGCTGTCCTCACTGCTATCGTCCTCGCTGATGTCTCTGAGCAATTGCTGGCTGCTTTTTAGCGGCTTCTCATCATTGTCACTGTCAAACACCAAGAAAAACGAGTCAAATTCAGCTCAGAGTGACTAAGAAGATGATCCTAGTCAAGGCTGGCAGAAGGAGGGGTGTTGGGGAAGGATGCAATCACCGCTTTCTGCTAATTACTAATTGCAAAGACTTCAAGGCCTGATGGAAATTCTCGAAATTAAATGGAGAGAAAATCACAGAGCACCGGACACACCAGCCAATGAGAGGACTGACTTAAGAGACGCTTTTGTGTGCCTGTAGACAAACAGCCTGTCAGGTTACTTTAGTCCCTTAGGAATGATGGGACAAACCGAAATTAGCTGCCAATTTGAGAACAGGCGCACTGCCAGCAAGCAGGTGTCTGTAAGGAGACGGGGGGTCACCTCGTAAGCTCCCAATTACTATGAGATGCCACAACATCTCGGATAGTGATCAAATAAATCCAGACAGAAAATTTATTAGGATAAACTGACATTTGTCCTCTTTTCATTTTCGAAATAATAGTCCTGCTGAGGGACTGCGTCATCCTTTGCTGATTAATTGGTGCAGATAAAGACTCAAATAATTGTCTCATAATCTGTTGGCGCGCAGGCACAAAGACACACACAACGCACACGCAATAAAAATAAATAAATAAAATTACATTTCTGAATAAAATACATAAAAAACAGTAACATTGTGAAATATCACAATATGAAATAACTCTTTCTGTAATCTATTCCTGTGATCAAAGCTTATTTTTCAGCATCATTACTCCAGTCTTCACTCTTCAGTGTCACATGATCCTTCAGAAATCAGTATAATATGATGATTTGATGCTCAAGAAACATTTCTCATTATTATTAATGTTGAAAACAGTTGGGCTGCTTAATATTTTTGTGGAAAACATGATAAACCGTTAAAAGTGCCGATTTTGTCCTGTCCCTGGCTTCCCTATTTAACGTATCCCGGTAAATTCCACATCCTTTTAGGGATTTTAACATCTTTTTTTCTTTTCTTTCTCCCAACTCAGCTGCTTCTCCTCGTTCGTCTTGCTGCATGTTTACATTCGCGAAACTGTCAACATGGCCGCCACGTCCCAGAATGCAACGCGGCGCCCAAGCCCTATAACAACCCATTCAAATATATTTGACGACGGTTTTTATTCATATCAAAGAGACACAGTAACTTATAGCAGTAAATAACTATAATGTCAACTCAATTTTTCTCCCAGTTCACCGGCCACTTACTTTCATGTTTTTCGGGAGAAACTGGTGAATTCACGCGCTGTAATAAATCCAACAGACAGAAATCTCTGAACTGCGGTCCAAATACGGCGCCCATCTCACATTACAGATCAAGATAATTTATAAAGTTTTTTTAAAACGACAAAAACTCACTTACACATATTTGAGAATCGGAATAGAAGATAGTTCATGACATGGTAAGCAAGTTTGTTAATATTTAGAAATAAAAGCGCTAAATAAATCTGTCATACAGCGCTATTTTGGCTGTGGTGAATCACGTGCCAAGCATGACGCGTCACCATGGAAACGGGACACACGATGTTTAGCCGATGCCGTCTAAACATCGGACGATGATATCGTCCATCGGCAAGACCCTATTGCTTACCATCTAATCTACCCAGACCTTAATATGTGGCCTTGTTAAGAGATATTCATTTCGCCTACTACCACTATACTGTATATTTTCATTCAGCATTTCTCTTTCAATAACTACTGACAGATTAGTTTAAATTGATCCCTCCTTTATCTGTCCACCTCTTTTATCTATAATATATTAGTATCCCAGAATTCAATGCACTATATCATATTTCATTTCATCAAATGAACATCATCAATGGCGTAACGTGATAAACCAGCTCTCCTATTCTCAAAAGTGTAATAAATCAGTGGCCTCCTTGTGCAAGCCTGAGTAATGCAGTTTTGAAAGCCTCCGAGGCTCCCGTCATTCTCCACAGCTGGTATGGGACGCACTTCCCTATCTGGTTACTTCAGTTAGCAGATGTTCGAGTGTGTCTGGTGCTGTAACTCCCCAAACAAGGGTAGCGTTCAGATCAGACTCTGAGCCTCTGCTGAAGCTGCATTTCTTTCCTGAGGGAGAAATAAAATGGGTATCTCTGTGTCTAAGTGTAATGAGATGGAAACACATTTACGGATTCGAGATCCTCCATATGCAATTAATACAAGCTAACTGCGCACAACCCCCTTTTGCTCGCCTCTGGTCTTTTATCCACACAGGTTTTTAATGTGCTACTTGTTTGTCACCTGGTTGTGACACAGTGTCATGGGCTCATGGCTATGATTGGTTAATGTTCCAATAATAAATGCACACATTTTATAGGGTTTCCACAATTTCTTACCAACGTATTTTCAGTCATTTCTGATTATTGATGTTCAAAAGTTTGGGATCAGTAAGATTTTAATTAAGTCTTTTGTGCTCACCAAGGCTACATTTATTTGATCAAATTACATTATTACACTATTTAATATTAGTAAAATATTATTTTGTATTTTAATAAAATTTAAATGTAATTTATTCCTGTGATGCAAAACTGAATTTTCAGCATCATTACTCCAGTCTTCAGTGTCACACGATCCTTCAGAAATCATTCTCATATGCTGATTTGCTGCTCAAGAAACATTTCTTATTATTATCAATGTGGAATTTTGTGGAAATCGTTATTTTCTTTTTAGGATTCTTTGATGAATAGAAACTTCAAAAAGAACTGCATTTATTTGAAATAGTACAAACTTTTAAATTGTTGCAAAATAATCTGTTAATTCTGATCATTTTGTCCTGGCTAGATAAAAGCATTAATTTAAAAAATATATTGCTGACTCTAAACAGTAATGTGTATATATATATATATATATATATATATATATAAATGATTATCCCTAGTAAGCAAATGTCTCCAGTAAAATTCTTAAAGAGCAATATTTCACTTATGTAATATTTTTCATCTAATGAAAACCAATACAAAATATATATACATATTCACTTTGCCATGATTTTTCTTTTTTAATTGTATTTATTTCCATGACCTTATCAGGTCATGAAAATATTATTTTTTAGAAATTTTAGAATGTGAAAATTCCCAGACATTAATAGCTATTTTCTATAACTGAGGTAACCTTTTAAAGTTGTACTATCAGCTACACACAATACGACAACTATAATCACACACAACTACACTTTTGCACAAAACAAAGCTGCCGTTCACTACCTGTGTGTGTAGGCTAGTGAGAGCAATGCTTTCCGTGTGGCTCCAAGTAAATGCCATGCATGTAGGGTTTGTTTGCAGGAGATAAAGGCGTTAAGAAAGGATGTTACAGCAGGAGCTCAGTGAGATGAAGAACTTGTGTCGAGATCTAGAACAAAACTAGTGTGGCTCTCTGACCTGTACTCGCAGGGGGTTTCTTCTCCCATGCCGTGAGATTCCAGATCAGCAGGAGACTCCTCCTTTTCCTTCACTGCCAAGAAAACAATCAGAAAGATTATGCATTCCATAATAAGGAGAGTGCTTTGCTTACTGATATTTCTCAGTTGCTTTTGAAACTTCCTGCCTTGATATCATTTCAAAAAGGATATTGTTGTTACTCACAGGAGATCATATTGACATCCACTTGTTTTCTTTGCAAATGCTGAGTTAACATGCAATACCTCACGAAATTGGGAGAATATTTTCTATTTTGCTGCATGGAAGCACATCAAGGACACTGACTTCTGTGTAAAATGAACTTGAATGTAAGATATAGCCTTACTGGTAAAAGCATTTATTCTTTTCAGCTTGGTAAGCTATATATAATAAAATATATTGTAAAGTAGTATATAACAGCCACAATGAAAGATCAAGGTGTTTAAAGATGCCTTAGGCTCAATTGCATACACTCCATAAGGGTTCTTATGCAGTTTTATAATAATTAATTCAGGATGTAAATCTTGAATCCATTAAAAACCTTTCATATTGGTTAAATATACGGTATGTGGAACAAAAAAAGCTGAAGACCACAGTAGGAGCCGATGAGGACAGGCCAGTAAAGCTCACTGATCTCAACATATCCGTCTGACGAAGCAAGTAATAAGTCTGTGGGTTGGTGCGACAGAGCCACACAAAAGCACAAAGCTAAGGTATAGACGCTTTGACTACAGACTACTGTGAGCTTGGACAGGGTCTTGGAAGCTCTGTGTGACCTCTAAAGCTGTTTGTGTCTTACCTGCATACTTGCCGCCTTTGTTCTTGAGCACAAAACAGCCGATGAGGACAAGGAGAGTTAGTAAAGCCACCGCACACATCATCCCCACAAACCACTCCTGGGATCCCGCCGCTTGTTTACTAGACACTGCAAGGACAAAAGAGAGTTTGTTTTTGGGAAAATGTCATTCATGAGCACAATCACACTGATGCCAACTTGAAAACATTGACAAAAACTGTCTTGTTGGGTTAGAAGATAAAAAACAATCATATCCCCAAATGGCATTTTAAAATACGGTTCCTGCGGCAACTTCTGATGTGGGTTGTCAAATGAGAACAATCAGAACACAAAGTCGAGCATTTGTGGAGCATATACATTTTTTATTACTTGTTTGTTTTTTGTGACAGTGGAAAAATATTTAAGTTAATTTCCACATTTTTTATGAATTTTTGGAACGCTTATGAAAATGTCCAACCTACTTTCTGAATTAAATGAGCTGTTTTTGCTGCTGCCTCGCAGCCTTCCTTCTTCTGGTGTTGCGAATAACATTATCTACGTTCTCCCCTTCGTATTAAATTTGCAGTTTCAGCAAATACAGAGTAGGCATCATTGACGAGTAAAGGTCGGACGTCATGTGTCCAAATGTATTCATCTGTCTGACATCAGAAAGTTGTGGATGTACAGGTCCTTCTCAAAAAATTTGCATATTGTGATAAAGTTCATTATTTTCCATAATGTAATGATAAAAATTAAACCTTCATATATTTAAGATTCATTGCACACCAACTGAAATATTTCAGGTTTTTTATTGTTTTAATACTGATGATTTTGGCATACAGCTCATGAAAACCCCAAATTCCTGTCTCCAAAAATTAGCATATCATGAAAAGTGTCTCTAAACGAGCTATTAACCTAATCATCTGAATCAACTAATTAACTCTAAACACCTGCAAAAGATTCCTGAGGCTTTTAAAAACTCCCAGCCTGTTTCATTACTCAAAACCGCAATCATGGGTAAGACTGCCGACCTGACGGCTGTCCAGAAGGCCATCATTGACACCCTTAAAGCAAGAGGGTAAGACAGAAAGAAATTTCTGAACAAATAGGCTGTTCCCAGAGTGCTGTATCAAGGCACCTCAGTGGGAAGTCTGTGGGAAGGAAAAAGTGTGGCAAAAAACGCTGCACAACGAGAAGAGGTGACCGGACCCTGAGGAAGATTGTGGAGAAGGACCGATTCCAGACCTTGGGGGACCTGCGGAAGCAGTGGACTGAGTCTGGAGTAGAAACATCCAGAGCCACCGTGCACAGGCGTGTGCAGGAAATGGCTACAGGTGCCGCATTCCCCAGGTCAAGCCACTTTTGAACCAGAAACAGCGGCAGAAGCGCCTGACCTGGGCTACAGAGAAGCAGCACTGGACTGTTGCTCAAATTTTGCATGTCATTCGGAAATAAAGGTGCCAGAGTCTGGAGGAAGACTGGGGAGAAGGAAATGCCAAAATGCCTGAAGTCCAGTGTCAAGTACCCACAGTCAGTGATGGTCTGGGGTGCCATGTCAGCTGCTGGTGTTGGTGCACTGTGTTTTATCAAGGGCAGGGTCAATGCAGCTAGCTTTCAGGAGATTTTGGAGCACTTCATGCTTCCATCTGCTGAAAAGCTTTATGGAGATGAAGATTTCATTTTTCAGCACGACCTGGCACCTGCTCACAGTGCCAAAACCACTGGTAAATGGTTTACTGACCATGGTATTACTGTGCTCAATTGGCCTGCCAGCTCTCCTGACCTGAACCCCATAGAGAATCTGTGGGATATTGTGAAGAGAAAGTTGAGAGATGCAAGACCCAACACTCTGGATGAGCTTAAGGCCGCTATCGAAGCATCCTGGGCCTCCATAACACCTCAGCAGTGCCACAGGCTGATTGCCTCCATGCCACGCCGCATTGAAGCAGTCATTTCTGCAAAAGGATTCCCGACCAAGTATTGACTATTGAGTGCATAACTGAACATAATTATTTGAAGGTTGACTTTTTTTGTTTGTATTAAAAACACTTCTTTTATTGGTCGGATGAAATATGCACATTTTTTTAGACAGGAATTTTGGGTTTTCATGAGCTGTATGCCAAAATCATCAGTATTAAAACAATAAAAGACCTGAAATATTTCAGTTGGTGTGCAATGAATCTAAAATATATGAAAGTTTAATTTTTATCATTACATTATGGAAAATAATGACCTTTATCACAATATGCTAATTTTTTGAGAAGGACCTGTAGAGAACAAGCTGTTTTACAGCCTAGTATCAAAAAAGGTAGTTTATTCTGGAGTGGAACTTTCAAACATTTCTTTCATAGTAAAATGAAGATGGATTCCTCATGGTAAGACCTCATCAGAGGATCTCAACTCTGGCCCTCTAGGTCCACTAGCTCCAACCGCTGATCAAACTCACCGTTTGTTTAGGTGTGTTTAATTAGGGTTGGAGCAAAACTTCATTATTGTTTAATTAATGTATATTCCATTTTTGTGTAACTTGTCATCCCATGATGGTGTTTTGTACTTTGTTGTAAAGCTACTTGTAATGAACTCTAATTCATTGTGTCTCTTTTACTGCCTGTAAGGTGGTTTTAGCATATTATACAGGTTAAGGTGGTTAGCCAGCATATAATACAGCTACAAAACACAAGAGTAGGATGTAATATTAAAGACCTATTATGCCTTTTTATAAAGTCTTGATTTTGTTTTGGGGCTCTACTTAAATAGGTTCTCTTACGAGAGTATCTCTCGTACTGCGTAATAGCTTATGCTAGGGGAAAACCACTTTTCCACGAGATATTGAAGCCAAAAATTATCCTTAATTTGTTTATTAATGTAAAACGCTTTGCATCAGCAAGCAGACACAGGCGATACAGCTCGCGCGCCTATTGGCTGCTCTTGCGGCAAATGCAGCAGCCTATCGAGAGAGACTCTGCGTGACGTAATGACCAATGGGGGCAACTCGCACCCATATCGTCACGTCCCGCCAGAAAGGGCGTGGTCTCACTCTATAAATATGCTCGTTAGGCTGGTACAAGCTGATTTTCATCTCTTCAGCGAAGCACACGCATCGCTGGATCCGGAGTGAAAAGCCGCGCCGTCGAAGCAAGCTTTTCAGCGGGACGAGCTTTGGAGTCGCTGGCCTCGCGCCTTCAACTGCCGTACCTGCTGCGCTTTCCGGCGTTCTATATCCTTTTATATCACTTTGTATCCTTACTCTGCTGAGAGTGTTTGCTCGCTTACTTGACGCGACTCACACTTCTCATCACAAAAGAGCTGCGTCTTTTTAAAGATGCCATCCTGTGGCTCGTGCCACGCCCCACTCAGCGACGGGGACCGTCACGTCATCTGTGTGTCCTGCCTGGGTGAGGATAACGCGGCCATCGCGCTCGCTGACGGCGGATACCCTCATTGCGAGCTTTTGCCTATGGTGACTCTGAGGACTCGCCTGGCATCATTCTCCGAGCCTTCACCACAGCCCGCCGTGGTGCCACGCCGCAAGAAGCGCCGCGCCCAGCGCGCTCCCGAGCTCTCTCCAGCCCGCCAAAGCTCGCCGGTTCGCCCGCCAGCTTCGCCGGCTTCGCTCGAGTCGCTCACTGACGGACAACGGCCGCCGCCTGCCGCCGCGTCCGTCCACGAGTTCGACGAACCCACCGAGGCTTGTTCTCTTCTGGCATCTGATAGCGAGGATTGGGCGAGCTCCGTGGACCTCCCCTCCGCTAGCGTTTCCTGCCGAACCACTGGTAAGAGAGCCGGCATTGAAACTGAGCTGATGCGTCTGCTCTCTCAGGACGTGGAAAGCATCGGCCTCGACTGGGAGGCGCCCGCGCGAGTCGTCAGGGGGCCAGCATCAAGACCGCGAGCCCTAAAACCGCGCCTAGCTTTCTTTACGTTATAAGAAATCTACCCCGCCCCCCATGGGCGTGCGTCACCGGCAAATGAGAAAAGAGTGTGTTTTAGTCCCCGCCGAGGCCGGACTAATCTCCATTTCTCAAACATTTCTCAGCTCCTAGTTTGAGCGGCTGAAAATGTCATTATTGCAGCAATGAGCCTGTTGTATAACACGCACACCTGCATACAAACGCAGACACACACAAAACTGTGATGACGCTCTCTTATCTGCTTGCGCTAATGTAGTTCTCCCTGTGGCCCGGTGGCAGAACCTGAAGCCTTCGCGCGAGAGACCCGTGTTCGATCCCGGCTCTCGCAGCAGATAAAAATTTAGTCTCGCCGCGGCCAGACTTCCACCGAAACTTTTCGCTCGTTCAGTTCCAGAAAATGCGACTGTTCCAGTGTATTTTGCAGTAAACAAGCTGGTTCCACGGCCCGCTTGCCTGCACATAAAGGCCGTTTCCACGGCGACCCAGAAAAATCATGTAATCATTGTATTTCTGGTTTTCCGGCCACAGCCGATGGTGTTATAAGTGTAATAAAATGCTCACAGCCCAGTGTTCATTTCTACACACAAACACAGCCCGCCACGGTACAGGGCTCGCACAAATGAAATCGACGCATGTCAATTGTGCATTAAATGTAGTGAATGTGCCCACAACCCAGTGCCCACAAACACTACCACGGTTTCTGTAAAACGAAACCAACACAAGTCTTCCTAGCCTCCTAGGAAATCGACGGTGTTTCAGTCTCGCCGTGGCCAGACTTCCACTGAAATTTTCGCTCGTTCAGTTCCAGAAAATGTGACTGTTCCAGTGTATTTTGCAGTAAGCAAGCCAGTACCATGCCCGCTTGCCTGCACACAAATGCTGTTCCCACGGCGACCCAGATAAATCACATAAACGGTGTATTTTCTGGTATTCCGGCCACAGCCGATGGTGTTATGAGTGTATTGAAAATGCCCACAACCCAGGGCTCATTTCTACACACAAACACAGCCCGCAAAGTTGCAGGGCTCGCACAAACAAAATCGCCTCATGTCGATTGTGCACTAAATGTAGTGAATGTGCCTACGTCTCAGTGCCCACAAACACTACACACCACATGTCCCACGGGTTCTGTAAAAACGAAACCAACACGCATTCAGTCAGCTCAGGCCGACGGTGTTTTTCAGTGCAGTAAATGTGCCCGCTGTCCTGCGCCCACATTCACTCACAGACATGCTAAGCCCCACGGGGCTCACCCCGCTCTCTCTCCCTCAGCAAACTGCTCTAAGGGTTTTGAGCGCGGCCAGGCTGCCCGCCGCGATCGGCGCGCCCCCCGCCTCACACACTGTAAACACAGTGTCTGCGTTACAGCACGCCGGAGCTCCCTTGCCGTCACTATGTCTCGGCCAGAGCCCAGATCTCATTCTACCCCTAGCTATTCACGCGAAAGTGTGGGCACAGCTTCCTGGGGTATCAGAATGGGTGCTGAACACTATAAAAAGAGGCTATTCGCTACAGTTCGCTCGACGTCCCCGCCGTTATACGGGCGCGCGTCGAGACGACGGTGAAAACGAAGTATCTCATCTACTTCGAGCCTAGATAGCGAAACTACTGAGCAAAGGTACTATAGAACCTTTATCTCAAGCTCAGAGCAAAGGGGGCCTACACAGCAGATATTTTCTGGTACCGAAAAAAGATGGAGGTCTCAGACCCATTTTAGATGTGCGACAGCTGAACAGAGCGCTTGTGAAACGCCAGTTCAGAATGCTTACGACCAGGAAAATCCTCGCGCAAGTGCGCCACGGGGACTGGTTTATGTCAATAGATCTGAAAGACGCCTATTTCCAAATACAAATAGCGTCCCATCACAGGCGATTCTTGAGATTCGCTTTCGAGGGCCAGGCATATCAATACACAGTCCTGCCGTTCGGCCTGTCCCTAGCACCTCGTACATTCACGAAGTGCATGGACGCGGCGCTCGCACCCCTGAGACTTCAGGGCATGCGAGTCCTGAACTACTTGGACGATTGGCCGATTCTAGCTCGATCACGATCGGAGCTCATAGAACACAGGGCCGCATTACTCGAGCACCTCGAGGAGCTGGGCCTCACAGTCAATTGGGCGAAGAGCTCACTGTCTCCCAGTCAGAAAATGTCCTTTCTGAGAACAGTGTTAGACTCGCTATCCATGACGGCACGCCTGTCACCAGAGCGCGGACTAAATATTCAGCGCGTCGCGAAATCCTTCCGCCACGGCTCGATAGTTCCGCTCAAAAGGTTTCAGGAAATGCTGGGGCTGATGGCCTCAGCGGCCTCTGTACTCCAGTTGGGCTTGCTTCGCATGCGCCCACTGCAGATGTGGCTGAAAGCGCGGGTTCCACCCAGGGCATGGACAGCGGGTCTGTTTCGCCTCAGGGTCGACCTACAGTGTGTTTCAGCTCTGGAACCTTGGAAAATAACCGACTGGTATCAGTCAGGTGTGAGTCTGGGGACCGCTTCGAGTGTGAAGGTGGTGTCTACGGACGCCTCCACCTCGGGGTGGGGAGCGCTGCTCGAGGGCAGACCGCTAGCTGGCCTGTGGTCAGAACGGGAAAAGCTCCTTCACATAAACTGCTTGGAGAAGATAGCAGTCGACAAAGCGCTACAGCGTTTTTGTCCCCAGGTAACAGGCCACCACGTCTTGGTCCGGTCGGACAACATGTCAGTGGTGGCATACATAAATCGCCAGGGCGGCGTAGGGGTCACGAAACCTTCACAGGCACACGGAACGCCTCCTGGTCTGGGCTCAGCACAACCTGCTCTCACTGAGAGCAGCGCACGTGCCTGGTCACCTGAATGTGGGACCAGACAGACTGTCCAGGAACAATGTTCCAGCAGGGGAGTGGTCGCTGCACCCGCAGACGGTCCAGCTGCTGTGGAAAACATTCGGCAGAGCACAGGTGGACCTATTCGCGTCCCACGAAAACGCTCATTGCCCGAAGTTTTTCTCAAAAAGCAAGGACGCGCTGGCTCATATTTGGCCCCGCTGCCCCCTATATGCTTTTCCTCCTGTCTCGCTCCTGCCTCAGGTGTTGGAACGAATCAGGGAAAACGGATGCCCAGTGCTGCTCGTAGCTTCGCTCTGGACAAACCAGACGTGGTTCCCTGCCCTGATGCAGCTGACCAGCACTGCCCCATGGCCTGTACCATTGAGGAGAGACCTCCTCTCTCAGGCGGAGGGCTCGATTTGGCACCCTCGCCCGGAGCTGTGGTCCCTGCACGCATGGGCCATCAACGGGTACCCGCTAGCCTCCCAGAAGGAGTGTTAAACACGATCGCGCAGGCTAGAGCTCCGTCTACCAGGCGGCTCTACTCCTCGAAATGGTCTGTTTTCTCTGCATGGTGTCAAGCCCAGAGTTTTTCACCTGTGGAATGCGGGGTTTCGGAAGTGCTTTCCTTCCTTCAAGGGCTACTGGATAAGGGCAGGACCCCATCCACGCTCAAAGTATATGTGGCGGCCATAGCAACGTTTGCAAAACCGGTGTCTGGCCAGTCGCTGGGGAAGAACGACTTAGTCGTGCGTTTCCTTAGGGGAGCTCGGAGGCTAAACCCTCCCAGGCCCCCTTCAGTCCCGACGTGGGACCTTTCCACGGTCCTGGAGGCCATGAAAGGCGCCCCGTTCGAGCCAATCCAGCTGGTGGACATGAAACACCTGTCGTTCAAAACAGTGTTTCTCATGGCTCTCGCTTCAGTGAAGCGCATAGGGGACTTGCAGGCGCTTTCAGTAAGCGCGTCATGTATGGAGTTTGGGCCTAATGACTCGAAGGTCATTCTCAAACCTAAGCACGGGTATGTGCCGAAATCCCTCAATACACCGTTTAGGGCCCAGGTAATTTCCCTGTCCGCCCTTCCGGTTCTCAATGAGGAGGAGGACGCGAGTCTCCTTTGCCCCGTCAGGGCATTAAGAGCTTATGTGTCGCGCTCGTCTGTTTTCAGACAGACTGAGCAGCTTTTCGTTTTGTTTGGCGGGCGCTCCAAGGGACTTGCCGCCTCAAAACAGAGCCTATCCAGATAGATAGTGGATGCCATTGCACTCGATTACACTGCAAAGGGCCTGCAGTGCCCCTTGGGTGTCAGAGCGCACTCCACGAGAGGCGTGGCCTCTTCGTGGGCATGGTCTAGCGGGGTTTCCCTGCAAGATTTCTGTACGGCCGCGGGATGGGCCTCGCCGTCTACATTTATGAAATACTATAACCTGGAGGTACCCGCCTTACAAGCTAAGCTTTTGGCGGTCAAAAAATTCAGTGCTATCTGCCCCGCTGTGCGGCCCAGATGCTGAGTTTACTGCAGCCCCATGAGTGTTGACACACGTATGGCCACCCAGATCAGGCTGAAAGCTTTCACCCTGGCTGCGCGTTTTATTGTCATATGATAGCCCCGCTGGGTGCTATTTTATAAGGAATGACGCTTCCAGCCTCTCTTCCTCCACTCTATGTGAGTTTATGGTGATTATGCACTATATGAGCCCTGGGCTTCGGCCCCTGGGACTTTGGTGTTGGATCCCTGTACGCACGGCGTGTTGCATTGTGTTCCCCTAGCGTAAGCTATTACGCAGTACGAGAGATACTCTCGTAAGAGAACGTACTCGGTTACTAACGTAACCTCGGTTCTCTCTAGAGAGGGAACGAGTACTGCGTATCTTGCCGTGCTTGGAATACGCTCTGGTTCGCTTCGGCGATGAAAACCAGCTTGTACCAGCCTAACGAGCATATTTATAGAGTGAGAGCACGCCCTTTCTGGCGGGACGTGACGATATGGGCGCGAGTTGCCCCCATTGGTCATTACGTCACGCAGAGTCTCTCTCGATAGGCTGCTGCATTTGCCGCAAGAGCAGCCAATAGGCGTTCGAGCTGTATCGCCTGTGTCTACTTGCTGCTGCAAAGCGTTTTACATTAATAAAAAATTAAGGATAATTTTTGGCTTCAATATCTCGTGGAAAAGAGGTTTTCCCCTAGCGTAAGCTATTACGCAGTACTCGTTCCCTCTCTAAAGAGAACCGAGGTTACGTTAGTAACCGAGTACGTTTTCCTGCTTCAATGTAAAAAAAAAAAAAAAAAAAATCACATATTTGACATTGTTGCAGCACCTCTCTTTCCAGTCTGTCAGTAACGCTCTGTTTAGTTCCTGTCCGCTCCTTCTGAAAAGTGCAGTGTGCTCTGATTGGTCGCCTGGATCAGTGTGTTGTGATTGGTCACCTGTTTTGAGCATGTTTAGGAAAACTCACGCCCCTTACCATAACTGCGTTAGATCCGGGCTGGAAAAAAACAGCGTCTCTTGAACATGGTGACAACATACTACTAACACAACTCAACCAGGCCTCGTCCCCTTTTTTTTCTTTTTTTTTTCTTCATATGTCTTGGGCAAAAATTATTTAAATGAGGAAAATTTTGACATGTGAGGCATTTCAGGGAGTACAGAAACAGTGTTACTGAAATAGAGAATAACTCCCTTTTGAGTGACTTTGTGGTTTGTAACTTTGCAGACCTTTTTCATGCTCAAACAACAACATTACACACTGCAGAAAGTTGAAAATGTACTTTTAACATTTTATCAGTTAATGAAATACACTTTTTTTTACTGTAAATTTAAGTTCAGTCCTGCATGGCAACCACAGCTGCTGGTATAAATTACACAAATATATATTACAGTCCATTTTAAAAACCTATAAAGTATAATATATTTTTTAAAAATCGCTTGCTCAAAGGAATGGGAGAACTTTCTTTGAATGTCCTCAGTGCTAATGCACCCACAGAAAGACTATCACATGCTATACTATGTCAGTGATACCTCTAATGCTGTTCTACAGGCTAAATTCTCTAACTTCTCACCTTTCCTAGTCTTGAAAACCTCTTCAAAAATGCTAGGGCCATCAACCCCGTGTGAAGCTTGCAGCCGGACTGTGTACACAGTTCCTGGGCTGAGCCCTTCAACGATGTGGAAACCTTTAGATGTATTTAAAGCCTCTGAAAGCTGCCAGATACCATCACCTGAAGGAACAACCGCATAACCAGATAGCGTTAGGCCACAACCCAGCAGAAAGAGGTGATATCTATGATAGTGAAAAGCCACACTTTGAAAGGTTAGAAAAGTAGAGAGTAAAATTGATACTAGGGCTGCAAATAAAAACCCATAAAGAAAATAGTCAAGAATGAATTTCATTATCGGTTAGTCTGGATTTTCTGGCATCATTGAGAGGCTCTTCGCCGAAACGTTACTCACATTATATTCGTAATGCGCTCATTTACTTATTAGTAAGCGAGTGGTTGAATGTCACTGTCATCATAAAAACTTTTAAAATTGAATTATTAGTACAGAGCACAATAAAGAGCAATCACTGGCTCTTAGACCAAATTTGTTGTTGTACATCGAATTCACTTTTTAAATGGAGATCTCTGGGATTAGTCATTTTCTTCCAGGACATTATCCGTTATTCGAGAGATTTTCTTTTCCTGCAGTACACAGCACACAGCTCTTTTAACCATAATTAATTCATTTTAAAAAATATTACATTCATTTCAATTGGTTAATCAAACATTACTGGAAAAAAACATGGAATTACGGAACAATTATTACTTTTGGTTCTTCACTGTAAACTGCTGCTTTCAAACTGAGAGTTTTGTTTTTTCTGTACTTTAAATCGTACATTTATATTTGCACATATCGTACATTATACAGACTTTGTACACTGATCTGTACATTGATCAAAATGTTGATATCCATTTAATATAAGAAATAACGAACAGATTAACTGATCATCAAAATCGTTCTTAGTTGCAACCCTAGATGATACTTTCTAAAATGCACTATAAATACGTCTACAATTGTAAACACTGAATCCTGACAAAGCAGATTGAGGAGTGACATTCTTACGGTGATTCATTATTGCAACATAGAGCTGTGAATCAGACCGTTCTCCACTGGTTCTCCAGCTGATTCTTGCAGAGGTGTCACTTACAAAGGTGGATATGTTGAGAACAACTGAGAGAAATACACAAAGAAGATATAGAACAAAAGACAGGAAAAACTCTCAAAAGGTTAGTTCCTGCGAAAGAAACCCAGTATACCCATTACCAAAGGATTGTTTAATAGAAATTATACAGAAATGCTTCCTCTAAAGGAAACATTGTTAAAGTCAACATGAAACGGTCAATTTGAAAGAATTAAAAAGAGAAATAAGTAAATAAATTAGTAATACCATATTTTTTAGAGAGAGTAATTAGTACAGTAATCTTAATTACACTGTGTTAAGATGTAATTAGTAGCTATAGTAATTAAAAAAGATTTTAGAGTAACTTACCCAACACTGCACATAACATTTCAGAGAGAAACTGGATAGTGGATATTTATTTAAGATAAAATTGTAGGGCAGGACTTTTATCCGAACTAACTGATCTCTATTTTAAGAGACTGGTGATGTCAATCATACAAGTATTATATTATATTATATTTTATTATATTATTTAAATAACATAATTCATTATAATACAAACATCTTTCTTTGTAATAACATGCACTGACAAATCTTTCTCAATAAGACCAGGAACATGTAAATACAGTCAATTTTGATTTCATGTTGACTTTAAATGTAAATTTCACTCAAGTATGGAAATGTTGAAGGTATGAAAATGATGGTTAACTGTATATAGATGAATGGATGAATACCTAAGGTAGGAAATATGGCATTGACAGAAGGAGTGTCTGTGTTAGGTGAGGTGAAAGAGAAAGGTTGCCCTGCAAGAGAGAGAGAGTTCAGACCACATGCATGTGAAATGTGAATAATTAAATGCAACTAATAATACAATCGTGTATAAGCAAAATAGCTAAATAAATGGGCCTATCAAGGTAAAAGTCCTGTTTTTTGGGGGGGGGTTTGTGTATTTGGACTATGAGTAAACAGATGGTCTTTACAAAATGAACACTGTTGAATGATGTGTTCCTGTCAGCAGCCAGACTGGTATTGTCAGCATTGAGAAAGACAGCTGTCTTTAGCAGGGGTTCAGGGACAGTACTACTGCCTCACAGAGCAGCTCTTAAAAAGACAAAGCAAACGCCAACAGCAACCAAGCTAGCTGTCAATAAGTGTTTTTTTTTTTTTATGGAATAGTATGCTAAATTTAGCAGAATATACAGAATTATTTCCTATATTAATTATGGAGTTATGCAGGGACTTTTGATACAACAATAATACTAATTTAACAACAACAGCTGTTTATTTATTTACATTATAACATTATAACATTTTATAAAATTAGTACAACTAAAGGTACTATGATTAATGTTAAGACTAGAATGTTTTCCCATGCTGTTATCAGTTAATGTAACTAATAACATAGTTATTTTAGACATAATAATGTATGGGTTAAATATACTAATTAAGTTTTCAGGTTACAAAAACAGCTACAAATCTGTTGGTACATACTCAACTCGGATGATGTCACTTCAGATGTTGACAGTTCATCTTAAAAAGACAGTACAGATAAAAAACTATAAATGTATAAATAGATAAATTATCATTTTCTAGAAATTCAAGCTGCTTTGACTATTTGACAGAGAAGCAGACTTCGCAAAACGTGCTCGGTTACTAATGTAACCTCGGTTCCCTGAGATAACGGGAACAAGTTCTGCGTCGCTAGACACAAAACTCCTTTTTCTCCTGAAGATCACTGAAGATTATAGAATAATGGAGCTGCGCGAACCAACGGGCGGGGCCATCCCTCTATATAAGGGTGCATTTAATACGTCTGAAACAACGAACGCCAAGCCGTGCAGCGTGAAAGCGTGGCCGGTGACGCAGTACTCGTTCCCGTTATCTCAGGGAACCAAGGTTACGTTAGTAACTGAGTACGTTCCCTTACGATACGGTTCACTCGTACTGCGTCGCTCGATGCAATGGCAACCCATTCCAAGCGTGTCGTGCTTAGATCTGCAGAACAAAGACACTGTAAAAGCCTGACTCGCTGTGGGTCGGAGGAACCGTTTCTACAGCTCCTTTCGCTACAGCTTTCCGTAGCGAGACTTAGCCCCTCCTTTTCCTTCCTGAAGGATCAGGGTGGCTTGGCGCAGGATCCAGCGTTATCTTAGGCTGGGGACCTTGGCGCTTCAGAGCGGGAATGCTGTCAAGACTCAGGCTCTGGTTGGGCTGAGCGGTCAGAGGCGTAGGCTTCGCGGGCTGCTGAGTCAGCACATTCTTTTGGCAACTGGAAGCAGCTGCAGAACTGGAGCACTTGGGCAGGAACAACAACGCATAGCCTGCAACGTCTTCTGTGCAGCGGTGAAGTGCTCGGTGAAACCGTCCACCGCAGGGCCGAAGAGGCTGGTGGGAGACACTGGGGAGTCGAGGAAAGTAGCCTTGTCTGCGTCGTTGATCTCCGTCAGATTCAGCCATAAGTGGCGCTCCAACACCACAAAACTGGCCATTTCTCTGCCGATAGCCTGGGCTGTTGCTTTCGTGGCGCACAGGGCCAAGTCCTTAAGTCCTTTCGCGGCGCACAGGGCCAAGTCCTTAAGTCCTTTCGTGGCGCACAGGGCCAAGTCCTTAAGTCCTTTCGTGGTGCGCAGCTCCTTAAACGCCGCAGGGTCAGGGCTGGACTCGTCCATGGAATAGAGCAGCTTCTCCTGAAAGACCTGTAGGACCACCATTGTGTGAAGGGTGGAGCCTGCTTGTCCAGCCGAGTTGTAGGCATGTCCAGCGAGAGCTGAGGTGGTCCTACAGGGCTTGGACGGATGGATGACCTTCGCTTTCCATCCGATCGATGTGGGCGGGCAGAGGTGCACGGCCACAGCTTCGTCCAACAGAAGTAGCTTCTCGTACTCCTTTTCCTCAGCGCAGTCAATATATGGTGAGGGTGGAGGAGGAAGAAGTACGAAGGCGTAGCGAGTAGGGGTTACGCCACGACTTGGTGAGCTCGTCATGGACCTCCGAGAAGAACGGTTCTGCTCTCTGACGAGGGGCCTGCTGGCACCCCGGCAGGAACCATACATCCAAGCGGCTACGTGGGGTAGACCACTCTAGTCCATGCTCCTTGACTGCTTTTGAGAGGACATGGATTAACTCAGCGCCCAGCTCTAGTGCCGCTCGAAACCTTAGATGCGCGTCTGAAGCCGCTAATGACATGCTGTCATCAGGAAGATCCTCATCAGATCCCCCGAACGAGACCAGGCCGCTCGCGCCAGAAGAGCTCACTCGTGCCCGACTGTCCTTTGGCTCCGCTATTTCTTCCTCCAAGGTTCCTGGGAGGAAGGGAACGGGAGAGCGTAAGGGGCGGAGCCACTCTCTGAAAAGAAAGCGATCCGAGAGAGGCAAGACTCAAGCTCTCGCAATGAGAGCAGCTTCTGCGTGGGATTTCCATAGACAGGCAACACAGTCATCATAGGCTTGTGCAGTTCCAAGGCGTTATTCTAGAATCTTCAGTAATCGGGAGAAAAATGAGTTCCCTTTGGGTCTAGCGACGCAGTACGAGTGAACCGTATCGCAAGGGAACTGACATTATATCTCCTTCAGTGGTTTCAAAATCACTTCAAGTTTTATGTCACATAAGCTGTCATGTTTGACTGATAACTTTAAAATATATATATTTATCTGCATTTAAAGGTCTCCAAAAATGCAGATGTCATGGCAGGACACTGCAAAGGTTACATTGTATAAAAAGCAATTACTAGGGGTGGGGGGAAAATCGATTCACATATGAATCGCGATTCTATCTTCTAACGAAAGTCTAACTAAGTTGCAAAATGCTACAAACTACAGTATGTGATACATACAGCTCTCTGTCGAAGTCTCAGCTGAGACTGTAGAAACTTCGGGAAGTGAATTTTCAGGCATAGTAACTAGTTCATGAGAAACAAAAGTTGGTTGATAAGAAGACAGATGAGTTTAAACAAACCCATGGAGTATGAGAATATGCAATTCGTAACAAAATTGTGGCCTAGAAATTGTGGCAGAGAAATGCAATGATGATGATACAAAATCAGTTATACAGTAAGTAAAAACACATCTAGAGGCAAATATGTTTTACTAAGGCACCTCATTGATCGGTCAATGCATTGGTCACTAGACTGTAGACATTATTCCACCCTTTCGCTCATCTGAGGACTTAAGCAATAATCTTATCATTCTCCTTTATGCAACAAGATCTTGCCAACAGCAACTTCTGTAGTTCCATAACTGCTGCTTAATCACTTTCGAACACCTTGCGGCTGTGCTAATTAGAACACAACTAACTTTTCTTGTATCAGATGTTTGTCTCTCAGCATGGGCACTTCAATTTAGATTCTGACACCAGATCCATTATAACTCCTGGGACTCTGCTTACAGTTGCTTCCGGGCACACTTACATGCTTCAGGGACGGTGCTTCCTTCCTCACTGATGGCTGACCCACAGCCCACCTGCGTACACGCTCTCAGGTAGAACTTATACCAGTTGTCTTCCTGTAGATCATGCAAGACCCAATCTGTAGTATCTGGTGCACTGATGTTCACAGAGATCAGCTTACCCACAGTCTCATTAACTAGAAGAAGAACAGAAAAAAAATGTTTGAGGTCAGTAACATTTTGAATTCATCAAGGATGCACTAAATTGATCGAAATTACATACATTTATAATGTTACAAAAGATTTCTATTCTAAATAAATTCATAAATCTCTCTTTTCTATCTATGCAGCCTTTTTTATTCCCGTCCTGACCTTGACCAGCTCAGTACTGCATGCCATGAGAATTTGCTTTAGCCCTCCTCCCCACCTGTCTAGATCTAGTCCACCAAGAAAAATCCTTAAAGTGCCCCTATTATGCAGTGTGTAATATACTGTAGCTGTCTGTGAAAGTAAACGTTCTGCAAAGTTATAAAGTTGAAAGAGCGCGATAAATAAAGTTATTGTCTCCCAAAAAAAGAATAGACTCTGAACCGTCTAAATGTGTCGTCAGGAATTCCAGTTTCACTTCCGTGACCGGCATACGTAACACGGTAACACATTTGCATAATCTCCGCTTATGGCCTTCATTGGCTGTCCGTGAACAACGTCTACTTTGACCCACCCTCAAACACTATAGCTGGTTCGTGTTGTGTACATGACGAGAAGATGCTGTTTTCTGCTCTGCAAAAGTAAATTCTCTTCAAAAACACTTCCAAAGGATGAGGATTTTAAGAGTCAGTGGTTAAAAGTACCAACAGCAATACAACCTTGCTTCTCAAATCTCTATGAGGTCTAAATGGGATTTGCAAAATGCTTATCCATTAAAGATGGGACAGTACACACTTTATTTGGACCAACTTGCTCCTCAGAATCACAACCATATTAAAAGCATATTTTCTACCGGGTGTTCAAAATACGTAGTTTTGTGTTTTATATTGTGCAAGTTTCCGGCTAACCGGCTAACTTACGTTATTACTGTCTTGCCGAAATACTTCTGCTAAGCAGCTGTGGGTGACTATTAGGGGTGTCACGATTCTCCAAATCCTCGATTCGATTAAATTTTCGATTCTAAGGTCACGGTTCGATTCGATTCTCGATTTTTACATTTATTTTTTTTAAACCCGAAACCGGCCAATCAGGATGCTCTCCGTCTTACATGCGCTTCATGAGGCACACACACGCAAGGTCTCTCGCTCTCTCCCTCTCTGCCGTGCGTGCAATACGGTTTGAAGCACAGTTTTTTCTGCGCGCTCTTGCTCGCTCACTCTAGATTCCGGGAGATTTTAACTAATTTGCGTGCATCAGTGAGCCGCATCAGGAACTTCCGCGAGACTTGGGATGTCTGCAAACTGTGGCTTTTTTGAAGCGCGAACGTTGTCAACATAACTCACTGGAAATCCAAAAAACTTCCACACCTGCGAAAGTTCTGTCGATGGGTCTCCTGCATCTGCAGTTGCCATGCTATCTTTTGAATGGCTGTAGCTAAGTTAGAGGAGGTTGACCATAGACTCGCAGAACTTCAACACACATGTTTTTTTCCGCTTGGCACGCCGACCGGACGTGACATGGGGGCGTGGCAGCATCGACGATTCCATTTTTTAATTCGAAGTTCGAGATTGTGAATTAATTTCGGTCGATTTCGATTTAATCGAAATCGTGACACCCTTTAGTGACTATTACCTAAAACTGTGTCTATTTATGTAGATTGTCTGATGTTCTTACTACTTTGAGTAATGATAAAGGATTGAGCAAGATTTGTTTAATGTTACATCAATCATTCACGTTAGAGCTCGGCTAACGTATGCGCTGTTATTGATACAGTTCCCGCATGTGCATCGCAATAAATTTGAAATATCACATCGGTTTGTTGTTGGTCATACACTTGTTAATGCTATGAGAATAAAACATCTCATAATGTAAACTGAGTAGCGTGTTACTGAGAAACGTCCTGCTCGTGTCGTCCTTGGGATGGAGGTTCGGGTTGAACAACTAGTTCTTCCAATGTTTCATCATCGGACTCGCGCTCGGATTGATATGGTAAAATCGACACCATCGTAACTGTACAGTCTCTGAGCTTCTATGAAACTTCAGAAATTCAAGTATGGTAATGTTCATTTTGTTTCCGACACGTGCTGAAAGCGGTAGACCAATCACAACAGACTGGTCCGTCTGGCCAATCAGAGCAGAATAGGCTCACGGAAAGGAGGGATTTAGAGAGACTGAATTGGTCGTTTGAGAATCATTGAAAAATGTGCAATGTATATTATGAGAAAATGAAAGTATTTTGTGACGTTTGAAGCATGTTGTAGGAGACCTTCAAAACAAAATTAGGAACCTTTAAAATAGCATATTAGGGACACTTTAATATAAGTTGTAATAACATTTCACAATATTACTGTTTTTGACTGTTTTAAATAAATAAATACAGCCTTGGTGAACTTCTTTTAAAACATGTAAATGTTTTGACCCCAAACTTAGCAGTATAAAGATCTAGTACAGTTAAGCAACATAGTTTATATAAAATGAACTGAGACAGATAATGTAACCGGAGATAAATCTGCGAGTGTCAAACCTGTCTGGTATTGCAGCAAGTATCCCGTGAGAAACCCATTGGTTACGAGTGGAGGCGCCCACACCAACTTGATGGAGTCTTTCTGAAAGTTTGTGGCTTTCAGGTCGTAAGGTTTCTTAGGAACTGTGGGAAGATGTCAGGCACCACTGGTCAGTATGTACATTAAACTTGGAAACTCATTAAAAACTTTCTATGTAAATTATTCTTCTAATGTTTAGCAGTATTTTGGACCGTGTGTGAACAACAAAGTGTGCAAAATTCAACTGAATCCACACAAGAACTTAGCAAACACTCAAACCACTGAATTTTAAACATGTCTACTGTCAAAGAGTTCTTGCCTCCCTGTGGAGTTGTGAAAGAGATGGGACTGCTGCTGGGCCCATTCCCTCTTCGGTTAAAGACGTTGACAGTCAGGTTATATTTAGAGAATGGCTTTAGTCCCGGCACTATGGTGTGACTCCTGTTTCCAGGGATGTTGAGAGACTGTCTCTCTGAGGGAATACTCTCAGAGGTCAACAGACTTTTAGTTCGCCACCAGTGCACCTGGGAGCAAAAGACAGGACGAAGAGGGTGTTGATGAGATATATACGAAACAAAGAGTGCAAAGAGAGGCAGAAAGAGAGAAAAGGTCTATTCATTGTTATAAACAGCTTGTTTGTTGCTCATTGATCAGCACCACAGGGCCCTTGAGCTGGAAGGGTCAGGAACTCACAGTGTATCCTCCAAGATGGCCCCTCAGGGCGGTTTGAGGCACTGGTGACCAGCTGACCCTCAGCAGTGTAGAGTTCAACACCTCCACAGACACATCCTCAGGAGGCGCCAAGGGCACTAGAATTGGTAACAGAACGTGTATCTTTTTAAGGCTAAACAAGAGGGTAACATCTCACAAATTCACACATACACAACAGTTTCCAGAAGCAACTAAAGCCACAGAGGGGAAAATAAATGGACTGTAATTGGATGACACATTAGACACACTTTTTCCAGGAAAAGTGCACATGCTAACACAAAGCTATCCGCAGAGAAACGAGGGTACATGGGAAAAGCTCTTTCAGAGATGCAAACTCATATGGGGCGATAAAAGGTCTTAATTTGGCAGCAGGTATATAGGCTGCTGTCACTTTAAGACCTGACGCACCGATCTATTAAACTGTTACACATGAGTGTTCTTTCTCAGCATAACTGACTATGTTTACGTGAATACTCGCCAAGACAGGCATTTTGACATTCTTTTGTGTGTATTTGACTGTTTAAGCGTTGAGAGGCGGCTTTTTTGTGCACGCACTTTGGGTGCGAGTACAAAATCTGCCGGACTAAGTGAAATTATGCGAAATTAAAGCCCTATGACAACAACAATATTCATACGGAGCAAATGAAACGAGGGGAGGCGGGTTTTTGTGTCAACACGAAGAGATGAGAGAGCGAGAAAGCGCAGCTGGTATCGTGTATTTTACGGAAAATTTATTGGAAGAGTTTCAGATATTTCACTGTCGATGTGTATAGAAAAATCTATATTTTTAACAACACTACATTGCACTTAGTTTGTTTTAGATGCCTTTTTAAAAGACTTCAAATGAAAAATGTATATTACATATAAAATTCAACCCGCCAAAGTGGCTAGTATGAGTGACTCATTACAAATTTGAGAAGATATGATTGCATTTGCAGTGATGGGGTTCTTATGGAGCAGTATTTCTGAGCAGTTCTGTGGCTTTTCAAAACTCATCGGTTCTACATGAATCACACTATTTTGGATTCAAAAACGACATCATTTTAGCGGAAAGTTGACAAGTTTGCATCCCTGCACTTTGGAACAGGAATTACAGGGATAACCTTTTTGATGCAGGAATAACATGGACAAAATCAGCCCAACCTGTTGCATTATCCTCTAGACAATGCCAAATGTCGACTATAGAGACAAGGGCATGAAAAATATGAAAATTGAATAAAACAAAAGATAATCACATAAGTGTTTGGCAAAGAATATGTCTGATCCCTAAAAGCACAATGTAAAAGCTCAGCAGAAATGACTGATCCTGGTAAAGAGTGGATTAAACCACTCTCCCAACTAATCTCCTATCTTAAGTGTTTATTATTGGCTAATCGTGGCAGTGTCACACGACTGTGAGAGGAATGCATTAATGAGCTGTTACACTCACAGTCTTCCCCGGAATAACCAGTCACCACTCTGGGTTCTGGTGCCCACCCGTGGTGGTTAAAGGCCTGGATCTTGACCTCGTAGGGGACGAACGTTGGGGTGTCTCGCACCACAAATGAGTGTCTCTTCACCATCTGTTCTTTCCAACTGTCCTCGACACCCAGGAGCCTGTAGCTCAGTTTGTATTCCAGACCGGGACCGTTGTGCTCCACAGGCAAGAGCGGCTGGTGATTAAAGGGAAAAGTGGGTCAGTGCACTGCAAACATTACTGAGCATTTGGAAAGAGTGGAAGGGTGCAAGAGACATTTGCTGATGGGTTTGCGAAATTTGGCGTGGGATAGTTTCTGGGGTGCCTCGCTTGGCTTTCCTTCAGAATTGCAATCTGACTCATAAATACGTGAATGGAGATTTGCTCATATACTTGACTGCCAGTGCAAATTAAGTCGCTATGGCTTTAAAACTACGAGACACCAGACTTCATAGGAGCTTCTTTTTGTGTGAGGGTGTTTGCCTTTTTCTTGCTTCAAGCCATGCATATATGCATTCAAATTATTTGCTGTATGCATTTTATTACCTCCCAGCTGATGTCCATCTGATGTGGCAGGTGACCCTCAATCTTAATGTTTTCTGGGTTCCTGTCAGGAGCTGTACAAATGTGAATATGAATTATTTAACATCTGTCTCAGTCAATAATACCATTGCCCTCTAACACTGCCAAAGTGTATCATACATAATGACGAGCACACAGTCATTGATAGTTCGAGACAGCGCTCGCTTAAAAGAGCATTAAAATTGATGGAGCTTTTATAGACATCTGTATAATTTTCTCAGGGTAAATCCCCACAAAGACGCCGAGACAGGCACTTCAAACAAGTCCAAGGTCAACCAAGGACAGCCAAGATGGAATGGAAACATGTTACAAAAGCAAGTCTCAAAGGATCACAGGTCTCCCTACCACAAGGAGGTGTCTTATATCTTTCGGATGGCATGCTGGGATGACTTCTCCCTATAGCATTGACAGCGATGACTCTGAACTGGTAGTTAATGTGGCCGTAGATCGTCAAGGGGGCTGAGAACTGGCTGCTAGCCACTCGTAGAAGCTCCTTCCACGTCCCGGGTTCCCAGTGGTTCTCTTCATACTGGATGATGAACTCTGATCACAGGAACAGAGCACAGCTGTCATTGAATATGCAAAGCGCATGCTCTCAATACACTGTGGTGCAGCCCCAGTGGGAGCCCCCTTGAAATATCGTAGAGCAATGTATGAGTATGAGCAACGTCCATGAAAATTACTTCAGAGAAATTTGCTTAAAGCAAAAGCCTACTTCAGAAGCACAGAAAATGTGTATCATTACACATGAAAGGGTACGCCAATGGAAACGTTTTGCATTTGTTCTGTAACCCTGACATCACAGTACATTTTTTTAGATGAGTTTTACCTGTTATGGGACTGTTATGATCACCAGCAGCCGCCCAGTTGAGCCTCACACTGCGGTCTTTCAGATCAGAGAGCGTCAGTTGAACCGGTGGATCAGGGACATCTGTCACATTTCAGACACAAGACTATAAACAAGCTTCATATCAAAATAACTATATCTGAAGACCTTTAGGAAGAGAAGCAGAATCGCTTCAAGAAATAACTGGTGTAATAATGATCACAAAAACAACGCATCTTTTCCACTATGTTTTGTGTTTTCTCTGTTTGTGGAGATTGCTGCACCTCTATTTGAATATCATTTTTCCAAGCAGGTCTATTATTGTGGTGGTATTAAAGTAATATATAAACATAACAACACAATCTAGCTGTCATTCAGTCTAGTCTCAAAAGGTCCTTCAATCGTACCTAACACAGTTATGTATGCAGAAGCTGTATCCTGGTCCAGTGATGTTCGAACAATGCAGGTGTATTTCCCTTGACCACTGTTGCTCACATTGACAATCTGGAGAACTCCATCATCTGCGAAATATCTGCAAATAACCCAAAATAGGTTCACAATGTAATCAAAATAATATTCATGTAAAATAATAGTTTTAGCTGTAATTAAAATTTCATCAGGGTCACAATTATTCCATTCATGTAGTAGTTCCAACTTCCAAGTCTCTGAATTTCCTTTACAATGAATCTTACATTGTTTCAGGAGCCAATATCTTGTATGGCTATGAAATGAAATAAGCAATGTGCATTCCAGGATTATTTATTGCATATTTCTATGTTGGCAGCAATAGTCAATGGTAAAACAAAAGGCATGAAACAATGATTTGATATGTCAAAATGTCACACTTTAGTTTGGGGAGCACATATTCACTAGTAAGGTAGTTGTAGTGGTTACGTTTAGGGGATGTAGAATGGTCATGCAGAATAAGGCATTAATATGTGCTTTATAAGTACTAATAAAGATAAAATATTCTAGTAATATACAAGCTAATAAGCAACTAGTGAGAATTGGTCCCCAAACTAAAATGTTAGGCTACCATATTTTCCTTAAACCTTGAATCTTAAAATTATTATAAAAAAATAAATAAATAAAAAGGTTTAAATATATTTTCTCAAGGTAAACTGTATATATTTTGTATTAATATTATGATTATAAATATAATTTATAAATAGTCATTCATTTTTTAGGGAGTCACACCACGTCACATTTTACAACCTGAACTATCCTTGTTTGTTTTTTATCATTAAAGGTCAAATTATCTTATATTTTAAGAGACTTATTGACTTTGAATCACACGAAGGTCAGCAAATAAACCTCAAAGCAAAATTCAAAGCAATCAATTCCCACAAAATACAAATGTTCAGCCAGACCAGAAGTGGCTGAAGTAGAAATAGAAACCAGGCATCCGTCAAACGAAACAGCCACTTATAATTTAGACGTCTCCATTGATTATAATGGAAGCGATCCAGTTTGTCGCAGGACGGTGTAGACACGGTTGGCAGAGGCGGCTCTGTGGCTTTCTAAATGTTGTCATGACAATCAATGCCCAGCTCTGTTCTGTTCGCTGTGTGTTTTTGTCTACAATTTCTTTAATTACTAAAAAATCATTTGCGGTTCGGGTGGAACTAATCTGGGGTGTGGATTTGAATCACAGCCTGCTAATTGGTGACCCGAGGTAAAAATTAAACATAATTTGTCTTGAAGCAAATAAAACAAAACTTGGCACAGTATTACACTGCATTTACACAGAAGATCCTGCTGGGCATCCTTTTCTAGGCTAGTAGAAAGAGGTTAAAGCTCCTGCTCATTACCTGGAGTACCTTTTGATTTTCAAGAGAGACATTTCTCCCATAAATGCGCTCTATTACTGATAAAAGCATACAATTACATCTAGCTCCGCTCTGTTACACGACTACAAAGTGTAAGCACTTAATCCACGATTCCAGCACTGATAAAACTATAAATACAATTCAAAAATGTCATGGCTCATGCTAATCCTTCCTGTTTTGACTGCGCAACACTTTCCGAAACGAGGATTTGCTTAAATGGAGAATGGCTTCAATGAATTCTACTCCGGGGAAAACAGGTCACCCACTTTTCTGAGAAGTTGGAGAGGATATTTATCCCATCCTTCATCCACAAGATCTCCAGCTGTCTTCTGAGGGTGGGGTCGCACTCCACCTGGCACTCCAGCTCGGCCATAGATCCTCTTATGACCTTTATGTCTTGAGGAGGTTCTACGATCCTAGTTGAATCTATCAACAGCAGACCTTTAGTTTCAGTAATGACCAGCAAACAGAAAGCTTTTTTTTTGTTTGTTTGATTAAGAAAGGTGGCTAACCTTTGATGAAAAGTTCAGTGGTGATGCTGGCGGTGCCCTCAGAGTTGCTTGCCGAACATTTGTACTGGCCCATATCTTCCATCTCCACTTTGTGAATCTGCAGGGAGCCATTCTTCAGGAGAGAATATCTCTCTCCATCTACAGAGCCCTCTGGGTCTTCTCTTCTCCTACAAAACAAACATTGAACTCTTCACAGTTCTTCTGAAATAGGGGCCCATGGGAAGGGCCTTTGCTGAAATGACTACAGATGCTCTGTTGATAAAGCCGAATCCAATGTAGCCTATTTTTTATTTTTTTAACACGACTTTCAAAATTGACCAAAGGTTTTTGAAAGGAAACTTTTCAAAGAAGAAAAGAGCATAAATATGAGTGCAAAAGGAGGGTCCCCTGGAGAGAACAGACATTTCAAAAGGGCTATAGATCTTGCAGTGTCTATTCTCAATATATTGTCCCTTTTTCCTTCACTTAGTTCACTTGACCCTATTGGGTCTGCAGTGCGATCATTTACCCATAATCTGAGAAAAACCCTGCAAAAATACTTTTGCATCTAACAAAATCTTAATTGAGAAGTTGTTTATATATATATATATATATATATATATATATATATACTGTATATATAATTATAGACCTTGATTAATTAACTGGTTGATTGATTGGTCTTGAATGCTTGCTTGATTGATTTGATAGATTGACTGGTTGATTGATTGATTGATTGATTGATTGGTTGATTGGTTGATTGACTGATTGACTGATTGACTGATTGGTTGATTGGTTGATTGGTTGATTGGTTGATTGACTGATTGACTGATTGACTGATTGATTGATTGGTTGATTGGTTGATTGACTGATTGACTGATTGACTGATTGGTTGATTGGTTGATTAGTTGATTGGTTGATTGGTTGATTGACTGATTGACTGATTGACTGATTGACTGATTGGTTGATTGGTTGATTGGTTGATTGACTGATTGACTGATTGGTTGATTGGTTGATTGGTTGATTGACTGATTGACTGATTGATTGATTGGTTGATTGGTTGATTGGTTGATTGACTGATTGACTGATTGGTTGATTGCAGTGAAGACCGGTTTAGGTCAGCAAGAATGTCTAATATTAGGACTAATTAAAAAGCAGTTTTTTTTCCAGCAGGGTTTGCAGTTATATTGCATTTATTAAAATAGAATGTATATTGAAATTGGGTGTGGCAATCATTATCATTAAGTGATGGAAATGTTAGCCACTTCTACTTTTTGGTACCTGTTTCTATAAGTCCCATGCCCTATTTGCATCAATTTGATTTAAATAATCATATTTTCCAAAAGTAATAAATTCAAACTCATTAAAATCAGCATAAAACTGTTGAAACCGTGAAAAAAAAAAAATTTGACTAAATAATTTGAAAAAATATGAACATGGTTTAAATATGGCTAGCTGTTGATTATATACATTTTACAATTAGATTTATTTATGATAAATATATAAACCTTGTTACTGTGCATATACAATTTCATGTGACTGGCAAAAAATGGCATCATATTAAGTTTATAAGCAGGGTTCCTATGCAGTTTGGAATATGGAAAAGGATGGGGAAAAAGCAGAGTATGGAAAAATCTTAGCATTTCCAGACAACTGTCCCTATTTAGTTTTCCGTGTGCATGCAACAAGATTTCAGTGTGCTCCTCATTACAGATATATAAACCAAGAGACAAACAAAATGTAGCACCACTCGTCACAGTTGGTTAGGACACAAACGTCAAAGAACAAAAAATAGACAATTCATTTGTGGCTTATCATGTTAGGGGGACACAGTGTCAGAATCACAACGCTTGATAACAAACTCACCAGTTAAGGGCGGCAGGTGGTGAGCTAAACACTTTGCAGTCCATAATCACACTCTTGCCTAACATGGTTGCGTACTCCAGATAATTCTGCGTCAGAATCAAAGGAGGATGATCTGAGAGAAAGCCAGACCATTAGTCAAAAGTTCACACAGACAAACATCAAACAGCCAGTGTGGCATATGGCCGAGGCGCACCAAACCGAGGCACACTCCTGAAATTAAACTGTAAAAAAATCTATTAGCATATAAAAGTGCTGTCTTCTTCTGCCAGAGCTACAAACTGAAAGCAGAGACCGAAGTACTTCATACACACACACAAACACTCATGCACACGTTTTATGTTTGTCTTCTACGTCAATTACGAATGAACAGCTGCCGAAACCCTTAAGCCATTACACGTCAGCAAGAGAATCATATCATAATCAAAGCCCAGAAAACTTCAATGAGGACCACAATCTTCTCTTCTGGCGCTATGAATAATTGATACATGTAAATGATATGGGTTGTACCTGACCTATCATCGCATTCTAAACATAGCAATACGATTTTCATAGTTTGCAGTTAAGTGAAGTACTCACTCATGACAAGCACGTTCGTATTGGCAAGTATGGTCCCATGTTTGTTGGAGGCTTCACACTGGTACACTGCAGTGTCTCTCTCCTCCGCTCTGAGAATGATTATTCCGTCATCAAGCACTCTGTGACTGGTAGAAGGGAAATCTGGGGGGAAACAAACTTGAATTGGCACTCTACCATTCAAAGGTTTGGGGTTTGTACGGTGTTTTAATGTTTTTGAAAGACGCCTATTTTGCTCAGCAAGGCTCCATTTTCTTGAACAAAAATACTCTAATATTCTGAAATGTTATTACAATTTAAAATGTAATTTATTCCTGTGATGGCAAAGCTGAATTTTCAGTGTCTACGGTGTCACGTGATCCTTCAGAAATCATTCTAATATGCTGATTATGCTGCTCAAGAAACATTTATTATTATTATCAATGTTGAAAGCAGTTAATATTTTTGTGGAAACTTGTGGAGATTTTTTTCTTTACATTCTTTACAACATCTATTTGTAATTGAAATGGTTTGTAACATAAATGTCTTCCCAATGTCTCAAAATGTATTTGAAATGCATTTATTTTATGCTAAGTATACTACAAATACATTTACATATTTATGTACTTAATATAAATACCCTGCAATTGTACTTTTGGTATACTAAATTGGTATACTTAAAGTCTGCTAAATTGGACCTACTAATTTGGTACAGAATATAACAGTGCTAAGGTCCAACTAAAGAGATACTTAAGTTTATTTGATTGTGATAAAGTGGAAACTATTGCAAGTATGCTTTAAGTACACTTTAAATATTTTGCATTTAAAGACTACAATTATACAGAGATCATACTATCCTTACTAAAACACATTTTAGGCTTAATATTAAGAAATATGAATTGTGCAATAAAGAAGTACTCCAAATAAAGTAGACTAATATCTGTAAGTCTCAAGCAATAATATGCCAGTAAATATGTTATGGATTTGTTATATACACTTAGTATGAAATAAATGTATTTTAAATAAATAAGTGTTCATTTCTTTCTTTTTTTAATCGTACTGACCCCAACTATAAAACAATGGTTTGATATTTCTTTGCTTTTGTGCTTCATAAAGGTTTACATTTTGCTGAAAAACCACCAAATAGTGCAAATATTCTATTCAGACATTTTGACAAAATGCCTTGCTATTGCTATTTCGGGGATTAATAACAGTGGAAATGTTCAATAGCCAAGACTTGAAAGTATGTGTCTATTCCACTCTGAGAAATATCTTAAATAGTAAAAAGCGATACAACTAGTAAACATAATTTCATATCATTATATCAACAATAAACTTGTGAAGTATATATTTGGAAGATACATCGTTGACTTTTGCTGTATGTTATACTGATCTATTGACTGTTATTTTACAAGAGCATGTAAATTGTGCATAAATACAAAAGTGGCCACATTTTCACTGCTGTTTAGTCTAAATGATGAGAAGAAAAAAAAGAACAACAGACTGTTCACACAGCCCGTAATTGCATTGCATTTGGCAGTGGCTTTGAGCCGACAAATTCAGTCAAATGGGCATGATAAGGGTGGGGGGGTTTAACACACCATCAAGGGGCTGGCCGTTTCTCTTCCAGGTGATTGTGGGTTGTGGTTTTCCCGTAGCAGAACACTTGATGTGGATGTCAGATCCAATCTCTGCTAACTGACTCTTCACTTGCTCCTCCTGCCAGCTGGGCGGCTCTGAGACACACAACATATGAATACGGATTAAAACAACTTCCTACTTAGAGCAATACTGCCCCCCTGTGTTTGGAAGTGACATGATTTCACAATTTTCTTTAGTGTTGATGATCTTATGTGATCAACCAGATTGTGTGTGTGTGTGTGTGTGTGTGTGTGTGTGTGTGTGTGTGTGTGTGTGTGTGTGTGTGTGTGTGTGTGTGTGTGTGTGTGTGTGTGTGTGTGTGTGTGTGTGTGTGTGTGTGTGTGTGTGTGTGTGTGTGTGTGTGTGTGTGTACTTGTACAACTATCTTTGTGAGGACCAGTTTGAGTTTTAGACCATTGGAGTGAGGACAAAGAGAGTAAAGTGAGGACATTTTGGCCGGTCCTCACTTTCTGAGACCCCTTTAAAGGCCTGTTTGAGGGTCAAGACTTGGTTTTAGGGATAAGGTTATAATTAGGTTAAGGGTAGGTTTAGGGTAAGGGTTCGGGTTGTGATGAGTAAGGTTAGGGTAAGCGGCTAGAGATTGCATTGTGTCAATGAATGTCCTCATAAAGATAGATGTACAAGAGTGTGTGTGTGTGTGTGTGTGTGTGTGTGTGTGTGTGTGTGTGTGTGTGTGTGTGTGTGTGTGTGTGTGTGTGTGTGTGTGTGTGTGTGTGTGTGTGTGTGTGTGTGTGTGTGTGTGTGTGTGTGTGTGTGTGTGTTACTGCATTAAATAAATTGGTTTTATGATTGATAACGAACTAAAACAAATATGAAATGATAAGAAAATATAAAAATAGCATATAATGAAAAAGTATAAATACACATATAAATAATATATACCACATTTCATATCAACTGCATATATTTAAACAGACTATTTAAATATATATATTTATAGACTCTTTAGTTTTTTGTGATTACTGGATAATGAAATTTAAAATAATTGTACACTGTAAAAATGTATATTATATGAATTTATTAATTCATTTATATTATATTAATTTATATGATCAATAAGTTGTGACAAAATGTTTTTTTTTTACATTGAATTAACTCATAAAAAAAGTTTAAAATGTCTTAAGTTATACAAGATTCAACTCATTTAAGTCAGTTTAAGCCAATTTGAAGTTTTAATTAGTGATTTAAACATCCAAGTTGATAGTACTTAAAAAAATTAAGGCAGCAACTTTATTTTTTTTGCAAGTGAACCAGAGCAATTTCTGGCTACTGGAAATCCCAATTTTAAAATTCTCAGGCATTTTCAAATTTTCTAGAATATTTGTTTTTATCAAACAGATTTACTGACTAGATTAACTGAGAATCATCAAATACCTGAATAAAATACAGGCTTAAGACCTTGTAAATGTTAACATACCTTCCACAACAACGTTGAAATGATGCACAGCTTCACCAAGATCATTCTTGGCTTTGCACGTGTATTTCCCTTCATCCAGTTCTGTGACATTTGCCATAGTCAGAACCTTTCCAAAGTTTTTGATATGCGAGCGCTTCGGTAAATTATCCCGTACCCATTCTACCTTTGGTGTAGGCCTGAGAAAAGTCCAAAATAAATTGCTGTCACTCTCTCTTGTCAGTGGAAATGCTTTGCTGCTGTGGTGTGTTTGTAAGCACTAAGTGGCCATAGAGAAGGGAACTCACAGTCCTTCTGCGATACACTCCAGCTCCAGCTCTTCTCCTTTTTTTAGGTGTGTCGTCGAATGACTGGAGGGCACCAAAATGTTCGGCTTCCTCTCCTGAACTGAATGGGGACAAATTATGGTAAATAGCCTTGACATGGACATAAAAAAGAAACCTACCTTTATGTCTGAATAAGAAAAATGGGCCAAAGAGGTAAGAAAAATAAACATGATGCAAGATATATTCTCAGAAAACATGCCATTATTTTTTGCAAAGATATTCTTAGAAAAGTGCATATCTCAAACTGAAGAGAACTCTAGAACACACAGTCTGAACTATAGAAATAGCTGACAAACTAGCAAGTGCCGAAGCCTTATCCTAAACTTCTTGCGGCACAAAAGAAAAGCCCTATAAAAAGATAAATGAACATTTTTGAATATTTGACATTTTACAAAATAGTTGACTTTCTAATTTGTGACTTACCACTCATGATGCCATCATCCCCTTGGCTTACTATAAGAAAAGAAGAAAAAAAAAAAGAAAAGTGTTTGCATTTTCAGCACATTCAAATGTTAATGAATAGCACAAGAGCCCAAAGAAACACACGGGTGCATGCAAATACAAAGTAGTAAGGATGGGTCAGAGTGCTCGTCCAACTACTGAATAGAATAATTAGGTTTAGACTTTTTTAGTGTTCATATTTTTAGCTGTGCTAAACACACTGCATTAACGTCTTTATTTCTCAGTGGATATTAAATGAAAAAAGTGTAGGGCGGGACTTGATTTTATCCATCTCTGGTTGGATTGTAAAAAGTGGTTGGAAGAGCAGTTAAGATGGAGATGCAAGTTTGTCCAACAATTACTGTTATATTAGCATGCTGACGATACACTAAAACCAAGTGCATCTATAATTTCCATTCACTTCAAAGAATCGCCAAGGCGTTTTCAGACCTGTAGATCGTTTGCGCTGTACCTAAACAGGGGCTTAATTTGTTAAAATGTTGCAGTTTTTTCTTGGTTGGATTCGCTTTCTATTCATGAATACATATAATTGTATAAAAATACATATAATTGTTTTCACTAAAATATCAATCTGATTTCATTGATAATAATAATGTGTGCGGATCTCTTTTGTCTTATTTTTGATTTCCTTTTGGATCTACGCACCGCGAGAAGACATCACTCATCAGTTTGAGACTAATGTTTGGCGCTACGCCTTTCCATCCTCTTGTTACTGATAATAATGAGAAATGTTTCTTGAGCATCAAATCATCAAATTAGACTGATTTCTGAAGGATCATGTGATACTGAAGACTGGAGTAACGATGCTGAAAATGCATCTTCGATCACAGGAATAAATACATTTCAAATTATATTCGAATATAAAACAGTTATTTTCATTTGTAATAATATTTCACAAAATGACTGTTTTTACTGTATTTTTGATCAAGTAAATGCAGCCTTTCATGGTGAGCACAAGAGACTTCTTTCAAAGACATTAACAAATAATACCGACCCCATACTGTATACACACAATAGCATAAAACTCATTTCTATTTAGTTTTCTTTAAACCATATCACGCTACTTGTACTCCCTACGGAGATTCTTGGCACGTACTTGGCTTGACCTTCAGGACCATGCGGGGTTTCTGAACAATTGTGCGTATCCTGGAAAAGGAGGCAAAGCAGCAGTAGTCATCATGGCTGTCAGACAGCAGTGTATTTGAGAAGTACAGATTCCCATTGAGGCCCATGGACACCCTCTCATTCTGTTCAATGTGCCGAAGATCTGAGAACAATACAGAGAGGATTGTTAGATTAACGTGAGCAACAGGACATCTGAGAGGGCAACCATCCAAACCGCCCAGAAATAGTCCCATCTGACAGACCGCACAGCAGATAACAGGCATCATGGGTAGAGCTTTGAATGCTCAGATATTCTATCAACTGTAGGTGGCTCAACATGATTAAGACACCTCGTCAGCACGTGTACAGTAATAACACTGCAAAAAAACATGTTTGTGCTTGTTTTTTAGTATAAATATCGAAACTAACATTAAAAATGTTCAATTTACTTGAGAAGCAAACACACAATAAGTTTCCTTCAAAGAAATTGAATGAAAGTTAGAGAGGTTCGTGCTTTAAAAAATGGCAAATGTATACACACACACACACACACACACAAAAAGTTGCATTGATGCATATTGTTTGGCTTTAACCCTCTGGGGTCCTTCATTTCAGAATCACACTCAGGACCTTCGGGTCCAAATGGGCCGGAAGGGTGGGATTCATATTTATTAAAAGAAAATCATCTTCTTTTTTTTTTTCTTTTTTTTATAATATTTTTTCTTTTCTTTTTTGGTGTTTTGAGATAATTTTATGATTTATAATTAATGTTTATGCAATAAATATGTCCCATTTTCCCCCCATTGAATATAATAGAAAATTATTTTTAAAAAATATATATTTTTTATATTTTTTTTAAAGCTGTATTTCATTTTAGAGTCAAGCCTAGACCTCATGACATTTTTTTTAAATGAGATGGATGCCATCTGGTGGCCAAACTGAGCATTTTAAAAATGCAAAACACATATGTAATCTGAATTTATTAGTTTGTTTATGTATAAAAGTGTGTTTGTGTGTATGTGTGTGGATGTGTCTGTTTTGCACTCTTGATGTTTTATAGATTCACCCCTTCACTGTTGTGTGCTTTTTTCTGGATCGTGGCTGATTTGTAGACACAAAAAAACTCGGTATTTTCACATTTTTGCCAATTTGCCATTCATTTCCTATGCGGGTCCATTTGAACCCGAAGGTCCTGAGTGTGACCATTTTTTTTACAACCACTTAGATTATTCAAATCCTGTCCCCAATTTGTTTGGGTGTTCATATACCAAGTACCAACAAAGTCACCAAATTTCAGACCATTCCGATGAAGCTATGATAAAAAATAAAATAAAATAAAAAACATTTAAATGCTTCGGGTCCATTTGGGCCGAAGGACCCCAGAGGGTTAATATTTGTATTGTGTGGTAACCGTTTTATAAAAGTAATAAGGTACTCTAACAACGCCCCTCAGCCGTGGCTTATTCACGATACACCACAGCCTCGAGTACCTTATTGCTTACTTAAAGTTTGTTTATTAAAGACATTTTTGTTTACTTATATATGATCATTTTGTCATGCGTTCAATTGCGACCAGTTGAGATTGACTAATCTACTCTTTTACTGGCTTGACTGAAATGATGAAATTCTTCAAATGTCACATACGTGTCTCATGCTTCCAGTAAGTATTAATTAACAGCGTTCTTCACCATTTACAACATGAACCATAACATGTTTATCATCAAAAGCCTATTATTATTGCAGGTGTTTATGAACTCCAGTCTGGCGCCAGACAAACGCTAGTTATTTATACAGTTGGTTGAAATACCTGCACCTGTTTACTGTATTCTGTGGCCAAGGAGTTGATTGACATATCAGAAACAATAAGGTTTGCTGTAACAGCTGATGAGATTTGAAGAAGTAATATTGAAACTAACAAGAAATTCACAATTTGACTAACTTGATGTGCAGGAAACGGTTTCTTTAAAGTATCTTGAATTACCTTTGGTCATCCAGTACAGCTGCCATGGTGGAATCCCTTGTGGCGGGTTACACTCCAAAACCACTGATTCGCCCTCTGTGACCACCACTGGTTCTGTCTTCACTTTGGAAAACTTGGGTACCACTGTGATCAACCACAGAAACAAAAACAAATAAAATTGCATTTAAATTCTTAGCAGTCGCTTACCAAATTGTACGACAGGCAGCCAACTGAAACTATTGATCAAGATCAAAAACAAGTTGAGCAACTGATATGCTCAACGGGACACATGGAATATGCAAATTTCCTGGAACAGATTCAAGGAAATTCTAAATACTAGAATTTCTGGAATTCTACTTTTCATTTCATGATTATCAGCTAAGATAATGTGTGAGGCGGGATGTTTATGCGCAGTGACTTACCAGGCACAATCAATTCTGCTTCCTCTGATATTGCAGTTCCGAGCTTGTTTGAGGCATAACATCTGTACTTTCCCCGGTATTTCACTTTATCTTTATTGTTCGGTATCATAAAAGTCCCACTACTTTCTTCTTTAATGAGCCGAGGGTCTTTATGTGGGTCGAAATCCATGCCGTCTTTTGTCCAGCGGTACCTGTTCATTTAAAATCACACAACAGGGAACTTTCAGCAACACATAATACTTTTTTTCCACCTATTAGACATGGACAAAAAAAAGTAGATTGTTTCATCAAAATGAAAGAAAGGCTCTTAGTATAGTTGGTGCATTTCTTATACTGTCATTTAAGAAATGATTCAAGTGTCCTGTTTCAACCCTTTTTTTTCTGTTTACCTCCTTTCTGTTAAAATAAGTTTCCCTATATTTGTTGAAGAGAATCAAACACATAGAATTAATTTACATTTTCACATTTTGCACAAAGAAATGGTTAAGTTTAAATTTTATTTGGATATTTCTCCAGTTTAGCTGTCTGCACAGACATCCTTAAAGGGATAGTTCACTCAAAAATGAAAATTCTGTCATCATTTACTCACTCTCATGTCATTCATGTCCTTTAGGTTTTTATTCACATATAAACATTGATGAGCGAACGTACATAGTGCACTCATTTGGTAAATGGAAACATGTTTGACCAAACCCACAAGAACCAATGAGGTTCATTCTTGCGTGTCACAACAGCACGTTTGAGCTTCTGCTAGATCCATATGGATTTATTTTACAATCTCTTTATGAACGTTTTGATGTGACAGAGTTTTGGGTGAACAGACTTTCAATGGATGGACAGAAATCTGATGTCAACATGAGGGTGAGCAAATTGACATCATTTTCGGGGGAATTAACCCATTAAAAGCAGGACATCTCACTCACGTAGGTCTTGGGTTGCCTTTGGCTTCACACTTGAACAGGATGTTCTCATCATATGGCAAGGCAATGAGAGAGCCTGAGGTCTGAGCAGTGATGGTCGGCAGCTGCTCCACTACAGGAAACAGGTCACAGGATAAAAGAGCTGTTGAGATGCTCATTTATGCTAAAAGCAAGCTTCTTTCTGGAAGGGTTTACTAGATAATAACATGTAATGGTGTTGAATAATAACCATAGCCTCAAGTTGAACTGTTGCACTGATAAGAACAAACGTACGGAAGCAATTTGACTGTCCTTGTGCTTACCTTGAGGAGGGAAATAAAGACCAAAGGTAGTGGAGAAGAAGGCCGACAGGAGCCTGACACTAAGGCTCCTGAGCCCCTTCATCCCAGCCAGCAGATGTGGACAAAGGTGAAGGAAACGCTGAAAACACTCTTGGGAAGTTGTTCTTTTAGCAAGAGCTCTTCACTGACTCCTCCAAGGAAAAGATCTAAAGACACATAAAAGACTACAAGAGTCAGAACAGAGAACAAATTGTAATAAGTTCTTCTACAGCGAAACTGAGAGGAGATTTGAAGAGCTGTGTTCACTTTGAACCAGTCGTCTAAAGTGTTTTACAATATTTTGGATAAATAGCATGCAGAGCCGATCAGGCCTATACAGTACGCACACTATGCAAGTTGCGTAGGGCCCCGCAAATTACTCAAGACCCCGCCTCCCCCTCGTGTCAAAACGCGTCAATCAAAGTTTACAACATTGATGAGATAATTAAGCGGAACTATTCTTCTGGTCACGAAAAGAGAGAGAAGAAAACACCACGAGAGTGAATTGAGGGAACGGCAATCAGGTCGACTTGTGTTCTCTCCTCTCCAAGTTTGTTGTCAGCAGAGAACAGTAAAGTTAAGTTGATGCGCATCTCTCACTACCGTCTTTTTTTTATTTATCCTTTTTAAGGGATCCTTTTTTTATCACCTCAAAAGCGAGATAATGTTGATTGAAATCATCAACAAAGCCTGCATTTAAAGCCAGGAACTTTTTTTTTTTGGTCCTATGTAGTATTTTAATAAAAAATACATTAAACATGCAATTCATGAATACAATGATTTAAATATACTACTTCTATGCTGAGCATGTTTTTAATTTCTGTATTAAAACCAATTAGGATTTTTTGGGGGGGCATAAAGTCAAAAAATGCCAGGCTGACACAACATGATATCTTAATTAATGAAGAAAATGACCCATTAAAAGAATGAAATATTTTAAAAGAAACCCTCATTAATACTTTATAATTTTTCTAAGAAAAAAAAAAGAGTATATTTTAACAAAACTGCTTCACTGTCAATAATATTTTTTAAATAATTGTCCTCAAAATCATGTGGTGTGACCAATAAAGTCATGTGCAGGGTGTCAGGGTTAATAATTCTCCTAATATATGACAAAACGTGTCCTTTTAATGACAAGATGAGGTTAGTTCAGGTTGTAAAATGTCATGTGGTGCAGACAGTCACTTGCTTCGTTCCTGAATGAATCAGATAAATGACTCAATGACTGACTCATTGCCATGGACCCTTTTTGCATTTCAGCTGAACAGGAGATGACAGCAAATATAATTTTTGTATTTCCATTTGCTCCAAAAGCAAAAAGGTCAGAAGAGAAAGATGTCAAATTTAACAATGTCAAACAATGCCCATCTTAGCAAGTATCCTCATAAACATAGTCAGTTATGTCTTAAGTGAACGTAAACAGTTGAGAAAGAAAACATGTGTATCAGTATATTGGATCCATATAGGTCTTAAAGGGACAGCAGCCTAATATTCCTGCTGTCTGTCTGTGTTTTTAATTTTAACGGAGGCTAGCTAGACCCTCCGTCCTCCTCATCCGCGCACTAATCCCCCAAACCCCGCCCCCAAGTCCTTGTCGGTGATTGGCTGGAACTGTTTGTCATGTTTCGTGGAGCAGGTTGGCCCAGTTTGTTTTTGTTGCTGTTTGTGGAGCCTGGGCTGTCTACAGAGATCGCGTCTTTACAGTGTGTTCAGGGGACAGGCAGCCAGCGGTTAGTGAGGAGATATTTGCTGTATGTGACAAAAAAAATTTTGGCCTAAAAAACACGTGACATCGCTTAGAGCACCTTAAATAAGGATTAATGTTTCATGACTGGTCAACAATATTATTGGCAAAATCCATTGGCAGGTGTGGCAAAAAGTTACTTTTAGGCCCTGGTAACGTGTATTACATAATATATGTTATTACTCCTATCCACCAATAAGCTGGTGTCTGGCGCAATATGGCTGCCGTCGCATCATCCAGGTGGATGCTGCACATTGGTGGTGGTTGAGGAGATCCCCCCCTTCTATGTAAAGCACTTTGAGTGCCGAGAAAAGCGCTATATAAATGTAATTAATTATTATTATTATTACCTTTTACTGGTTTACACTATGACATTGTCAGAGTCATTAAATATAAACTTCTCTTGAAAATTGTATAAAGGGTTTAAAATGAAATAACATTTATTAGCTTTAGTGGCACATTCAGAAAATGTGACCTTTTCAGCAAATGCAAAGTCAAAACACAAGGTTGCAAGGCTCGAATGAAAGACACCAGCTGAGAAAAGTTGTTTATTTCGCGGACTCGTGTGCGTTGTTTGCCTTCACGCCTCCGTGAAGGCTGATGAACCGTAAGCACGCTTGCGCCGCAGGCTCATTCCACACATAATCGTTCACACTCACAAGATCAAGCCGCCTCCACAAATTACCAGCATCAACCCAGATTAACTCTCCTCATCCAGTAGTGGCCAGAGGTGATAGATTCTCTTACTTTTGCCCCTGGCTCATAATTTGGAGGTCTTCCCCTGTGTCACGAAGAGCAACTCAAAAAGCCAAGACAGACTCAAGGAATCCGCACACTATTTGCACTGACAACAGCGATGCCCTGCACTGCTGAGATTTTTACACACAAAAAAGAGTTATATAGTATGTTATGAAAATATTAATTTAGTGATCTGGTTTAAAAACATTTTAAATGTTGCGAATTTCGGCAGCTATAATGAGCTATAAACCCTGAAATCCCATATATTTTCAGAAAGCCTGTACCGAGAAGGGGATTTGTTGAGTGCTTCAATTACACTGGTGACTCATTTCTGAAATTTTTTAAATGATAGCTCCAAGATATAAATTGTACTGCACTAAAAGCAAAAAAAAAAATACATGATTGTTCCGAAAATCAAGTAGTAAATGTATCTCAAAAGTATATTGCATCTGCAAGTGCCTTTATAATTACATTTCTTCTTATTGTATTATGTTTTTTTTTTTTTTAAACATATCAATCTTCAATAAAAGGAAATCTATTTTAACATACTCAATATATGTAAGGACAAGCGGGGGGAAATCAACATTTTTAGCTCTGTTGTAGCTTGTCAATAGCAAACCTTTGACCTGCAAATCTCTAGCCTAAAGATATGTAGTCTGGTGAACTCCGCAGACCCTAACAAGTGCCGGATGCTTCTTAAGACAACATGGAGTAAACTTCTGACCCCATTCACTCCCATAACACCATTAAACCACCGAAAGCGTTAATTCCTATCATCTGCAACAGCACCTCTAACTGAACCGAATACATCCACATCAAATCATACTGTAATTATTTGCAGATCTATTTTCGAAATGAACAAATTAAAAACATGTGCAGCAAGTTAATCAAATAATGAGCCTGCGTAAGACAAACTCGCTGAAGCACATGACTGGATACTTCATCCATTAATCCCGGAGGCTGGATATAGAGAAAGATATCCATGACTAACATCAGAGAAAACTGCTGAGGCTTACGGTTACACCTTTCTCATTTGCTTCACTGTCACACGACTGCACACTTTAATCCATTAAACAAACAGCCAACTAAACAGAACATGGAAACTCTGTACTTACTTAGTCACACTCACACACACATGCAGTCAAGACAGTAATTCCCAGAGGTAGCAGTGATAGTATTAAACTGAGCATCCAAACTCTCAGCATGCTCCTCAAATTCCGACACACACACACACACACACACAGAGAGAGAGAGAGAGAGAGAGAGAGAGAGAGAGAGAGAGAGAGAGAGAGAGAGAGAGAGAGAGTCCGAAAACATGCCCCAGCACTTCAGTAAAGCACTAAAGGGGATTCAGTGAAGAGACATATGTCGGCAAAGCCTCTCACCGGGATACAAGGCTTTCTAAACCTTTGACAAAGATTCAAATAAAGCCTGATCCGCCGAGCTATTCACAAACCATTAAAGAATGGTCCGGGAAGTGCTGGAATTCCTGCCTGCACAACTCAACGCATCAGAACAGCATTGATATGAAAACACAGCAGTCTGAGGAGACTTCGACACGGAGATGTTTGACTGAAAACAAACCTTGGAATCATTTCATTGTCCTATAATCATTTGTAAACAGGAAATAGTGGTTTGATGAGCAGTCAAGAAGGAAACTGCTTTGATTTGTGATAGTATGCAGTGTGTCAACAGTGAAAATCCTCTTTGTATAATGGATTCAATCCTATTGTCTTAACTCCTAATGCTGTCTTATAGGGTCGGCAGACGCACGGAGATTACATCATGCCGAGACAAAACTATTGTTTGTTGATTAAACAGCATGTGTTGAAAGTCACAATCATATAAGGTTCTTTTATGTTTATGTTTAATTTGATGACTAACGAGTGCTGCATAATGATTTTTGAAGTGCTTTGTGTCATTTTGTGGTCTGTTTGACCCACCTGCTGTAATGCTTTCTACCACCATATGGCATGCATGTAGAAAGTACAAACAAAGTGAAGAACACACTCACTGACAGTATGTCTCGGTACAGCTGAACATATATAATGCAACAACACATGATCCCAGACTGTGAACTATCCACACAAAGCAAGCAAAGTGTACACACAGTGGACTTTATATGAAATATTACACTTTGCATTTAAGGTGTACACCACAATGTGAACATTACATTGAAAACTGCACCTTACAACTAGCAGATAAAGTTATTGTAGTATCAAGAAGGATTGTGTGATATTGCTTTTATACGAGTTCAATAAACAAAACGTTAATATTGAGTAATTTACTGTCTGTTTTAGATATAACATTGGCAGCAGAACCACTGCAACACACAGCAGTGTCCCGTTCCTGAGGAATTCAGTGTTTTTTAACAAATTGGTTGAGTAAATGATTCAAATGACTCGCTCATAAAGAGACACTTGTAACCTGTACATAGATTCACTGAAAAAAAAAATCGCACTAAATAAACACCAATGTAGCATAATAATGGATGGATGGATGGATGGACAAACTGTTGTAAAATAACAACTTTTCATTCAGAAATTGCAAGTACATTTCATGGATGGATGGCTGGATAAATTGGTGTAGAAACAATTTTAATTCAGAAATTGCTAAATTTCACAAGTAATCTTGAAGTTTTGACAAACTGAAATGGCATTTTCTTGTAAAATTTACTCTAATAAT